AAGGAAAGATACGAATGCTACCAGTGTGTATCATATTTTACATCTTTTAAAAAATATTTTTCTTGGAACAGACTTTCTTTATTTAGAAATGTTTCACTCAAAAGTTATACTGTTAAAATATATGGGAAATTTACAACCAAAACATCACCTTTGCATTATTAAAAGTTATGTCATCGTAGGGGCTGGGATTTAGCTCAGCGGCATAAGCGCCTGCCTTGTAAGCAGTCAGTCGTGAGTTCGAAGTTCGATCCCTGGTACCGATAAAAAGGAAAAAGACAAAAAAAAAAAAAAAGAAAAAAAAAAAAAAGAAAAGAAAAAAGTTACGTCATCCCACACATAGGTTATTAGTAGTTTTAAAACTCAAATCATTGCCTCACATTGTGTCCAGCGTTCTATATAGATGAAAGCCCTGTACATCTGGAAGAAACATATAACATACTCGAGGTAGGAAAAGCCCAAACTGTTTCTGAATCTTAGAAGGTGTTCTATAAAAATGAAGTAAGTTGAAGAATGTGGTTTTAAATTATTAATTTAAACAAAGGCTGGATAGTAAAATAATAGCAGTTCATTTATTAGAGAGAAGCAAGCAAGCATTTTAGTGCTTCTTAAAATTATTAGCATTATGTCACGCAAATAAACCCAGTAACAAACCAGGTAAGTCACAGCTGTTAACCCTTTATAGCAAGCTCTTTTTTCCTTAAACTGTTACTACAATATTAAATGAGTTTTGCTTATACAGATTTTTAGCGTTAGCATATGTCGAAATGATGAACAGCTACAATCCTCAGTAACTTTGACAATTATTATTTAAAGCTCATTTTTAAACTTGATCTGTAATTTGACAAAAATCCCCATTTTTAGATATTCATTATTACTTTAGAATTGTTTCTTTGAAACTTACTAAAGGATCAGGTATCTTTTGATTTTAGTCAGTGTTACACATGCATAACAACCTATTAAATACATGTAATGGACTCACATACATCACTTCTGCATTTTAAGAAGCAAAGAATACAATTAACAAAAATCTTTAGCATTTCACTTTATTACACATATTTCGAATGTTTACTGACACATTTATGTAATTTTTAAGTTTGCTTTTACACTGTTCAAAAAATATAAAATATCTGGAAAATGCAAGTTAATTTCTGTAAACTATTTTATTTTATTTTATTTTTGTACCAGGGATTGAACTCACGACCTTACACTTACCAAGCAGGCACTAATGCCATTGAGCTAAATCCCCAGCCCTACAATTTTTATTTTTAGTTTAGGAAAAACTTTCAAAAGTTGTAGTCAATACTTGGAAATTGCATCTACAAGTACTGCAACAAACTTTTATTTAAAAATCCTTGAAGGGTTTCCTGGGGTTATGGAACTTGAATAATTATACTGAGCCCAGAAATTATTTTTTAACTAAAATCTCATGTCACCAAAGGCAAAGTATCCTGAATAATAAGGATGCTCATAAATGCGTCCACTTGGAGGATCATACAAGGAATTTTACTGGTCATAGACACGGTCTTGGTTACTTTTCTCATTGCTGAGACAAGATACTCAACACTCAAAGTTACAGGAAGAAAGGTTTATTTCAGCTCCTGGGTTTTGGAGATTCCAGTGTATGGTCAGCAGGCTCTCACGCAGGGTGGTGTGGCAGAGGGCGTTCCCCGGAAGGAACAGTCCATGGCAGGGCAGACAGGAAGCGGCAGCAGCCGCCTCCTTTTCCCTTTTATCCCACCCAGGCTACAAGGCTGTGGGTGGTTCCACCCGCACCCAGAGTGGGCCTCCCTATTATCCACACCTAGAGCAGTGCTAAACCCATCAGTGGACTCATTTAGCTAATCACACTTCTAGTCCACGTACACACTCCCTAGATCCAGCCACCCCGAAAAGCCCCACCTATGAGTATGGAGGAGGCTTTGGTGAAACATCTAGATCTCAAAAGGCCAAGTTCCAAAATCCAAAAAATCCACATCTTTCTGGATGGTGGTGTGTTCCTGCAAACACTCAGGAGGCTGAGGCAGGAGGACCTCTGTGAGTTTGAGGAAGCCTGAGCTATTTTTGTAAACCTTAGTAAAGCTGAAAATAGTCTTCTAAATTTCAAACACGTAAAATGTAATTCTGATCAGCTAACGCAGGTAACATTCATGCTAAGAGTTTTAGGGACACATTTGTTACAGCTTTCAAAATATTTTAAGTTATGTGAATAAAAAGTCATTTGGGTTTATGCTCTCTTAATTTTTTTGTTAGTTTTTGAGACAGGGTCTCATTATGCAGTTCAGCCTGGTCTTGAGCTCACTAACCTTGACTGGCCTAGAACTCGTGGCAATCCTCCTGCCTCAGCCTCTGTGCAGGGATTCCAGGAATGTACCACCATGCCCAGAGATGCTTTTTTAATTATTGAAAGCTCTAATTTTTAGATTGATCTGGTATCATCTAAACTATATAAGTGCACATACACATATAGATGTTATATGTAATACACACATGTGAACCACACATAAAACAAAGACTTAAATTGAACATTTATGAGCTTTTAAAAGGTTACGCTCCTGCCTTACCACCCTATGCAATATGTAATCCTAACTTTGCACATCTGAAGGTAGAATTCCTCATCATAGTAAGGTGAGAATGCATATCTCAAAGGAGATTGCTTGCCCAGTTAGTCTGAGTTTGACTTTCTTGAACTTGTGTGTGTGTGTGTGTGTGTGTGTGTGTGTGTGTGTCTTCCTTCAGGGCTTAGTCAATTTAGAAACTCTTGCCTCTGGATTTTAAGACATTTTTCTCGTGTTAACATTTAGGCATAGCCAGTCACAAGTTTTCACCCCTTATCCTAGGGCTCTATTGCTCAAGGCCTCTAGTATGAAAAAAAGAAACCAGATTAGGAATGATACTCTCCACGGAGGGAAACATAGAGTCAAATTTCCCCAGCAAACAAAAGCCTTGAAAAATACATTAAAACACGACTGGTTTAGAGTGAACCGAGGACTGTTAGGCAAAATAAGCAGAAATTAAAACCCAGATGATCTCATCAATATCCGCTAAGTAAGTGCGTGGTCAGCAGTGCGCAGGGCGCTGGCCCGTCTACATCACCGCTCCACTGTGCAGCTGTGGGTGTCCTCTGGCCCAGGCCTCCGGAGAATCTTCCCAGGGACAGCTCCATGGATCAGAGAGTGCTGGCAGGCCCGCACAGGGTGTGCTGTCTCTGTGTGATTAGTAAATCACTGGTTTCTAAGTCCTTTAACGCCTTCCTTTCCTGGGGACTTGCAAAGTAGCCCCAGCACTTTTATTCCTGAGCAGTTAGGGTTAGCGGTGTCCGTAGACTCTTAAACTCTTTTAGTCTAAACTCTCCTTTTTTTGAGAACCTTAAACTCCATGTTGGCTCACAAGGAAGCCTCAAAATAGCCGGAAGCCCCACACGGCCAGTGTAACTCTGCCCCACACGGGGCAGGCAGCCTGCTGCTCCTCTGAGGGTAAAGGTGCTTGGTTATGTGAGGAGAAAAGTGGACCGAAGCAGACCAGAGCAAATGAGCACTCCAAGCCAGAACAGTGTTTTCTACCTCTAAAGGTCTTTTTCACACCAGTTGGTGCCCCCTAAATGACCTTCAGCTGGTCCAAAATGGTCCCCATCTGTGAAGTCCTTACCTCACCCAAATGGCACAGACAGTTAACCTACGAGAAGCCCCAGTGGTGGAGACAGAGGATCCCCGAGTGCACTTCCAGCGGGAACCAGGACAAGCTCGTCGGCTTCCCCAGCCACCTTTTCCCCTTCGCCCACAAAAGTGTTTACAGGCAGCTGATGCCAGGAGCAGGGGCTGTGGGGGTTGACAGATGCCGAAGTGTCAGTGAGGGCTGGAGTGTCCTTGGGGTCGCACTGACCACAAGCAGTTGGTCCCTCTTCCCAAGTGACTGGCAAGGCACAGGGCTCTTGGGGCAGGGACTTTCATCCCTTCAAGATTGCCCAGACTCGTCACCTGCCATTCAGGTTCACGTGCTCGAGGTCCTCTGTTCCTCTCGGTCCAAATCTAAGGAGGCCACGCATTTCAGTGGACAGGGAAGAATGGATTCACTCACTGCTGGCTCTGAGGAGATGGAGCGGCCTGTTTGCCTCAGATCTCTGAGGTCCTGTGGCAAGGGTCTTTCCCAGTAAGGAGGGGGGTGTGGAACGCAAGGGGACAGTGGACCTGCCCAGGCTGCTCACATCCCTCTCAGGACCGGAAGTCCCCCTTTCTTGCCAGGGATGAACTCCTGGGCCAGCGACTTCAGATCCAGCCCTTTCCTCCTGGGTAGAGGAGAGCGGGGTGGGGGAGCCATTTATGCCCTGGACCTGTGGAAGTGTGGAAGCCACTTGTCTCTACAGGAAAAAAACCAAAGTGTTTTGTGTTTTCTTTTCATTTCTTTCTTTCTTTCTTTCTTTCTTTTTTCTTTTTTTTTTTTTGAGACAGGGTCTCACTATGCAGTTCAGATTGGTTTTTAACTCACTTTGTAGGCCAGGCTAGCCTTGAACTCACAATGATCCTCCTGCCTCAGCCTCCTGAGTGCTGGGATTACAGGTGTGCGTCACCATGCCTGGCTCCAAAACCAAACTTTTCAAGTTGCATTTTGCAATGCCATTTACATTCCTCATCTGAAAAACGGAGATAATTCCTATCTCAAGGATGACGATATGAGACACCAGTTAATGGGAAAGGAGCTGGCAGACATCCAGTCCCTACGCAGAAGTGTCATTGTCCACGCTGCAGCAATTGTGGGCTGTCTGAGGCCAGACAGGCCGCAGGCCATCCGAAAAGCCAGGCTCCCTCCCGTGCCTTACAATTGCTTCCCTGTAAGGACTATGATCTCAGCTCTGGCTGCCGTCTCGGAATCACCCATTAACCTGTCACAGAAGGCAACCCGAAAGCTCCGGGAATACCTGGACTGTTGGACTGAAGCGCTTCCCTTACAGGCGTGACAAGTGCCCTTCGACCCACACTGTGCACCCTCCTTATTTAAAGCTGCGCCCCGTGGGTGTCACTGGAGAGAATCCGCTCGGGCTCCGGGTGCTCCCTGTGGCTTGGCTGCCTGGCGGCTGTAGGCTCCTCCGGGCGCACCTGACAAGCCTCCCCGGAGCCTGGGCCACTCAGGTGCACCCGGCACTTGGTGAGCGCCCCGGGGCGTGAGCTCCAGTAGCTCGGGCTCCCCGAGAAGATCCAGACTTTGAAGTTCCAGACCTTGAAGTCCCAGAGGCCACCGCCTGCAGGTGCAGCGGCTGCCCAGGCCGCCTGGGACCGCCGGGGGCGCCACGCGCCGCGCGCCCGGGCGCAGGGATCGGATAGTACGCGGCCAGCGGTGCGCGCAAGGCTCGGTCCCCGCGCGCCATGGGGGCGCCACACGCCATCGGCAGCTTCGGCGTCTGGGACTACGTGGTGTTCGCAGGCATGCTGCTCGTGTCCGCGACCATCGGCATCTACTATGCCTTCGCGGGCGGCGGCCAGCAGACCTCCAAGGACTTCCTGCTGGGCGGCCGCAGGATGACCGCCGTGCCCGTGGCGCTGTCCCTCACCGCCAGCTTCATGTCGGCCGTCACCGTGCTGGGCGCGCCCGTCGAGGTGTACCGCTTCGGGGGTGTCTACTGCATGTTCGCCTTCACCTACCTCTTGGTGGTGGTTCTCAGCGCCGAGGTCTTCCTTCCGGTGTTCTACAAACTGGGGATCACCAGCACCTACGAGGTGAGGGGCGCGCTTTCGGGGGCGGGGTGAGCGTGTGGCCTCTGAACCTCTCCTGGTGTCCTGTCCTGGGAGAGACAAAAAAATCTCCTGAGCTCTGTGCACAGAGAGGCTTCCAAAGGAGACACTGGATTCCTGCTGCCTGAGGCTCTCTCTGCACTTAACACCTTGATTGTTAGTCAAGGAGAAAGGTTTTTAAACTTTCACTAGGAGGAGGCAGGGTGGGCACCTCAATGGATCTCAGCTTTTCCTTTTCTAAAGGAGGCCCTTGCTCAAGGGGGCCTCGGCCCCACCCACTGCCCAGGGAAAGGGATGGAGGATCCCCACCCCAGGATCCTGAGAGCAGCTACCCCAGAGGCTAAGGGACCCTGCACCTGCTGGGAGGCCAGATGCTACCGCTCACTACCTAAGTGACGCAGCCACGTATTTCTTTTTTTTCTTTTCTTTTTTTTTTTTTTAATTTAAGAGGAAAAAGAGAAAAACACAAAACAAACCAAAGCGGCGTAAGGGTACACGCAATACAGAACTACAAACAAAACAAAACAAAACAAAACAAAACAAAACAAAAAAACATAACAGTAAGAAATCACCTGCTAGTAGATTACACACTATCTTCTTGAAAATAGTTCCTCAAATCACCGTATCAAAGAACACAAGGTGGACATTCAAACAGGGAGACTGCAAACAGCTGTGTTCAATGTTCCAAAAACATTGATAAAGTCAGCTATTTAACACCCCCAAACACACCCGCTGTTATATCCGTTAGAGCTCTTTTTCTTTTTTTTTTTTCCCCTCTCTTTTTTACAACAAAATTTACACATCTTGGATTTTATTACTCCTTAGTGCTTATTACTTTCTTTGGGGGGGGGGGAAGAGTACAGTCAAATATGGCAAAACAAAGCTGTCAGTCAATACCAAGGACAGACATAGCACATGGTGTAGAACAGAGTACAAGTTTATCAACAATGGTTATCAACGTTGTCCCTTGTTTCCTTAAAAAGAATTGTCTATCTTATTAGATATTATAAAGTTGGACAAAACAGTAGAGAACAAGACCAATAAAACTTAGGCATTGTAAACATTACAGGACTTCCAAAGAAGACAATAGTCAAACCAGAATGAGTATCTTAGTGAATCTTATTGTCTTCAAAGTAGTTGCCTATGTCTTCAAACTTGATACTATCATATAGAATGGAACAGAGTCTAATCAGTCAAAACAAGATCGTGGGAGTACTACAGGACTTCAAAACAAGTTAATAGGAAATCGAAAAGAGTTACTATTTATATATCCTAATTTTTTTGAATTTTTTCTTTAATTAAGACAAACATAAGAAATGACTAAATAATTTTTTTAAACAATAAGGGGGAGATTGAGATAAAACAGGACATAACAATATAACAATAGAGGTCACAGCATGACTGTTTCAACAACCTAGTACTTCACCACCTTATAACCTGACTTAATAGTAGTTACCATAGTGTCTTTTTCCTTGAAATATTTGGATAAAACTTCATATACTCTAGCTTCAAATATTTTCATATCAAGAAGCCCAGAATAAAGCCTTTCTAATTAATGAGTGAAAACTTTATAAGGCTTCAAGGCCACCTAATGGGGAATCATGATTACCACATATTTTTATATATTTGAATCATTATTTACATCAGGGAAACTATTCGGTATTCACACATGCGAGATTGATTTATTTCACTAATGAGTATGGTCTCAAGCTGCGCCCATTTATTGATAAATATCTCAATGTGATCCTTCTTTATAGCTGAATAATACTCCATTGTATAGAAATACCACAACTTTTTTATCCATTCCTCAGTTGATGGGCACTTGGGTTGTTTCCAAGATCTGGCGATTACAAATTGTGCTGCTATAAACATAGGTGCACATATATCACTGTGGTATGATGCTTTCAGTTCTTCTGGGAATATGCCTAGAAGTGGAATAGCTGGAATAAATGGGATTTCCAGTCCCAACTTTTTGAGAAATCTCCAGACAGATCTCCACAAAGGCTGTACCAGTCTACACTCCCACGTATTTCAATAATCTGTGGCTATTGTCTCATCTCAGAAAGAAAAGTCTACCGCTGCTCCAGCGGGCTGTTGGGGAGGATTTAAGGTGCCGAGGTGTCGCATTGGGAATGTTTAACTCAGGCTTGGCATTGGACAAATGTTGCCCATCATTATCTGGTTATGGCAGAGGTTATCCTGTGATCACTAGAGAACCTCACATCTTTAAACAGCTCGGCTGGTTCTCCATGGAAAGATGGTTGGTGGGAAGCCATGCTTGCTCTGCCTTACTCGTCCCCTGGACACAGCTTTTCTGCGGGACAGGGCTCTGTACAGGTGGTGGCTGGTTTCTTCTAAGGGGCTGCTCAGTGGGGAGGGGGGGTTCCTCCGCTCCAGGGCCCTTCCATTTGCTTGGTGGCTTCCGCACAGCTGCCCTGGTCACTGAGCTCGAGCCCCAAGATCGCAGTGATCGCTCTGCTGGGCCTTGGTGTGGGGACCCCAGATCTCCTCTTAGGGCCTCTTTCTGGCCTTGAGTTTATCTCATGTCTGCTTCACGCCAGGCCCCTGGAAGGCGGTTTCCTAGTGAAGCTGGTTCAACTGGTGCTGGGGATAATGTCACAACAAACCTTAGTGACGAATTTGGGTTGGGCGCTGGGGATGCCAGGCAGGGCCAGGCATCCCTGGGGCAGAGCTGCTCCCTCTGCCTCTGGTCACTGTGCCTGGGAAGAACTCGCGGTCACCTGGAAGTGAGCAGGAGGGAATTTCCACTATGTTTCCCCGTGACGAATTTGTTACCCTAAACTAAAATCATTGCTCAGCTGTTCTTCTTTTTAAAAAATTATTATAGTGTTTTTAAAAATAATTAATTTAACATGTAAGAATGAGGAGAAGGCAAGGATGAGGAGAAGGCTTGGTGGTGCATACTGTAATCCTAGCACTTGGGAGGCTGAGGCAGGAGGATCACCTTGAGGTCAAGGCCAGCCTGAAGTACACAGTGGGACCCTCTCAAAAAGACAATAAATAAGGCAAATAAAATTCCAGATTCTGATTTCTTTTGAAAACTAGGAAAATGGGTGACACTGGGCCCCACATTTCCCGTGGCGCTCACAGTGATGGCTCCCCCCACTCTGTGGCTTTTTCTTTGAGGCCCTCGGTGTGTTTGCATGGTTATTTGCTCACCGTGGGGATTCTTCTCTGCAGTTTGCAAAAAGGAAAGCACACCACCGTGAAAGGGGCGCCTGCATCCTGGCGGCCGTGTGCACCGGTCTGGTGCATTGATCTGGGCAGGGCCTCGCCTGTTCACGCTCCTGTGCTGCCCGCTGGGCCCTGACAGCCGTTCAGCCTGTGAGCTCTGAACTGTGCTTCACCAACTCCAAAATGAAGAAAGGGTTTGAAGACCCTGGCAAGAGCCTCTCAGTGCGCAGAGCGGAACGCTACGCTCTAGTCACTGACCTGCGCCTCCCACACGAGCAGCAGCTTTCTCCCAGGTTTCCAGGAGGGCTAGCTTAGCAGGGGTTCTAGCCGACCAGGGCAGAAAGCCGACTTTCATGGAAAGCTGGGACACTGAGCTGCGGGGTATCCTCCTCCCAAGGGAGTTTCCTCGGAGGCCGACTTTGCAGAGACTCAGAATAAGTTAAGCCAGGGAGAGAGCTGGAAGCAAGGTGAACACGTGCCCAGCAGTATCCCGGCTGCTCTGGAAGGCTCTGCTGACCCTGCATAATCCTGAGCCGGGCTTAACGCCCATGCAGTGAGAACCAGGGAAGAAATACAGGATGTGCAGATACGTGAGCTGTGTCCAAAGCTGGGGAACAGGGCAGACAGGGCCAGGCAAAGTGGGCAGCACACTGTACCCCTTCCAGTCGGTCACAGCAAGGCTATCTTGTGATTGTGCAGAGAGGTGGGAGGTCTGCACAGGATGTGAAGTCTAACGTTCTCACTTGGGTAGAAAGTCTTTCCCTGCTGAGGTTTGCACAGCTCAAGTTGGTGATCCACAAGCATCTTAAACATCTGTGTATCACCGCCTTCAAAACATAGGCTCCACAGGTGTTCGGCAGCATCCAGACCCTATTTAATTCATGGCTTCTTTTTTTTTTTAATTTTGTTTAAGGAGAAAAAGAAAAAAAAAGGGTATAAGTTATACAGAATTTCAGAAAGAATAAGCAGTAGGAAATCACTGGTTAATAGATTACATATTGTTATCTTAGAAATAGTTGTTCAAGTTACAAAATTAAAGCATATAAAGTGGACTTTCAAACAGTGAGACTGCAAACAGTTTTGCTCAATGATCCAACAAAACTCAATAATATGCTTATCTATCTTATACACTTAAATATATATGCAGTTATATCCCTTAGAGCACTTTCTTTTCCTTTCTTTTGTACAATGACTATTACACATTTTAGGTTTTATTACTCCCACAGTTCTTATTACTTTTTTTGAAGAGAGTAAAACCAAATGTGACATAACAGGATGGAGTCAGTCAAATCAAAAGGATGGACATAATACATAATGTAAAAACAAAATACAAAGTGATCAACAATGGTTACCATACTGCCTCATGCTATCTTAAAAAGAATTGCCTATATCATCAGTTATAATAAAATTGAGCAAAACAGTAAAGAATAAAACCAAAACATTGGAGACATTACAGGACTTTAAAAGAAGATAATAGTCAACCAGAATGGGCGTCATAATGAATCTTATTATCTTCACAGGTGTTGCCTATACTTTCGAACTTGGTACTATCAAGCAAAACAGAATAGAGGAAAATCAGTCAAAACAAGACGGTGAGGGCAATACAGGGTTTAAAATCAAGTTAATAGGAAATCAAAGTGGGTTACTATAATGTATCTTGTTATTTTTTATTTATTTTACCCTTAATTAAAAAGATAAAAATAAAAAAGTAAATAATTAAAAAAAGGAGACTGAGATAAAAGAGGGCATAACAACAAAACAGCGCAGGTCAAAGCATAACCATTTAAGCAAAATAGTATTTCACCACAAGATATCCTGACATAAAAGTAATTACCATAGTGTCTCTTTCCTTGAAATCTTTGAATATAACTCTGTATACTGTAGCACCAAATGTATCAAGACAATGTAAAATCATTCAAGAGAATGACAGTATTATAGGGTATTTAGAACCAATTATCAGAAAGTGGACAATGGTTTCTTTATAATCTCCTTGTCTATAAAAGTTTTTGCTTATGCTATCACATATAATAAAATCCAATAAGATACAACCTGTTAAGACTGATGGAGACAGAAGAATAAAAGCTTGATGGGACTTCAAAACAAGATGATACTAAATCAGCCCTAGCTATTATAATGTCTTGTTTTCTCCAAAATAGCTGTTCCTACCATCCAATCTTCTCTGCCTCATTTCTGTTGAGCTCTTTTTCTGTCGTTTGTTGTCAGTTTGTCTTCTTCATTTCACTTTCTGCTCCATTCATTGTGGCCTCTCTGCCACTGTTTCTGAAGTCTTGGTATTTTTCTTTTTTAGAATGTCCTGCAGTATTCTCTGTAGAGTTGAATTGGTTGTTGCAAATTCCCCTAGTTCCTCTTTATCCTGGAAGCACCTTGTTTTTCCATCAATTTCTAGAGACAGTTGTACAGGATATATCAGTCTTGGCTGGAGGTTATTATCTTTCAAAGCTTGAATTATTTCCCCCCAATGCTCTTCGTGCTTTGATGGTTTGTGCTGAGAAGTCTGCTGTAATTCTGATGGGTGTTCCCTTGTAAGTGATCTGTTTCTTGTCTCCGATGGCTTTTAGTATTCTGTTCTTATATTGGATTTCTGGAATTTTGATTATTATATGCCTGGGTGTAGCTCTATTTGGGTTGTAGGTGGCTGGGGTCCTGTATACCTCATACATCTGAGTATCTTTACCTTTTGCTAAATTAGGGAAATTCTCTTGGATTATTTCTGTGAATAGCTTTTGTAGTCCATTTGTTTGTGTCCCTACTTCTTCTTTTATGTTCTTAATTCTTAAGTTATAGATCCTCTTATCATCTTCTAGCCTTTGTATTATTGCTGTTTGTTTTCTTGTTATTTTTAAGAAGTTTTTCATTTCATGCTCCCACATTAGAAATCTGTCCTCCAGTTCAGATAATCTATCCTTAGTTTCTTTCAAGCTGTTATGCCAGCTTTCGATAGAGTTTTTAGTTTCCTGGTAATCTCTTTGAACCTGCTTCACGTATTCTATGTTTTCTCTATTTTCTCCATCAAACAATTCTCCCCTTTTTTTTATGTTCTTCCATTCCACCATCTGTTTTTTCTTGGGCAGTGCTTAGCATTTCTCTAACTATTCTACTTATATCTTGCTTTATTTCATTAAATACTTCTCTTTTGAACTCATGTATGAGGCTCCAGAGATATTGCTTTATGTCTATTGGTGCCGTGTCTGATGTTGCATGTTTTCTGTCCTCATTCTCCTTTGCATTTACCTTTCCTGGATCAATGTTCTCAGGATTGGGGACTGAGGACCCTTTCTTGTTGCTTCTTTTTGTTCCTTCCATACAAGCGAATATAGGAGACCCAGTTTTTTTTTCTCTTTGTCTGTTACAGTTTGTTTGAATTGCACCAGCTAGGTGTTCCCGCCCATGCAGTGTACTAGGGACACACAGACCTGGGGAGCCTCTGCTGGGCCCACCTTTCCAGGTCAACCTACAGAAGGCTTCATTGCTAGGTTGCACCTCCAGGCGCTGGGACCTGGTTTGGGCTAGCCTACTGGGTGTAAGTCAGTGGCGTCATGCAGGCCAGGCACTCCCCACCAATCCCGCTTGAGAGGGGAATATGTGACTGAAGTCACTGCAGTGTCCTGTTCCGGCAAGTCTGCCCGGTCCCAGTATGTCCCTTACTGGAGCCTCCTAGTCTATGGAAGGGTCCCTGATCCGCTCACTCACTGCAAGTTGATGCAGGGCTCCCAGCCAGTCCCATTCTCAACTCCATTCACCAATTCCTGCTCTCAGAGTTTTTGTGCGTCTCTCTCCCTGCCGTGCCAATTTGGACGCAGCAGCGGCAGCAGGAAATTCAAATCGTGGCTTCCAATGGCGTGGGATCCAGCTTCTGCGCTGAGTGTTCATCATTTCCTGTTATAGCACCGGGATTGCGTTTCCAATTGGTTTCGCTTAGCTTAGTTTGTTCCTGGGTCAGCAGGGTGTATCTCCCCTTGCTTACGACTCCTCGCACCGCCCCATTCCTGGATTCTAAACACAGTATCTCAGAGAGTCTCCATAGCTGCTGCTATCTATCTACCATGTTCTCCCTAAAGCAATTCATGGCTTCTTCAGAACCGTTTTGGATCCAGCACAATCTTTGTGTTTGACCTGGATTTCTCAGGGTCTTTTTAAATTTTTTAATTCTTATTTTTTGGTACTGAAGCTCAAACTCATGACCTTGCACTTAGGACCAGACATTGTAGGATCTTTTCATCTTTTAATTCTTTTATTTATTTTATCAGTGGAAGTTGAAGTGTCCCTAAATTATTCAAGGTTCTGAGGACTATGCATGATCTTGACAGTGTAGGTACTTATAGTTATACCGTAGTTTTGTCTGGACATCTTGAAACTGTTTTTTTAAAGCTGACTGACAACAATCCTAATTCAGGTTCTTTCCCCTGCAGCTTAAGGCACCGCAGGGAGTTGAGAGAATAGATTTCTTGGTTACTCCTTGAGTTGATCTTGTGTGTGCTTAAACATACTGCTTTTCCAGACTAGATGATCTTGGAAAAAAATATATGATGTATAAATATACCTTCCAACTTATTTGGTTTGAGTGTCTGCATCCTTGGCTGTGTCTCGTTCTGCTTTGTTTTCTTTAGTCCGCAGCAGCTGCCCAGGAAAGGAAAGGACCTCTCTGTCCATGCATGGCCATTCATGTGTAATAGAGGCTCCCTTAAAGAATTCTGCAGAAATAACACTACCCTCTGTCCAAGGTTCACAAACTCCTGCAGTCTCCTGAAATGCCTTCCAACATGTCCATAAGTGATTTTGTTACAAGATTCACGAGGCTCGTGAATTTAGATTCTCCCGGCTTTTTGGTGGAGTATTTTACTTTTGAATGAACAGTTTACATTTATCCATCATTAGAGAACTGACAAAACCCTGCAGAAGAAGAGGGAGAAGAATTTTACCACAATCCTCATTTTCAAGAGAAAGCGTGAACGTGGGACGTGGAAAGCGGTTGGTTCAGTTAGTTCAAGGCAGCTTAAGGCACCACAGGGAGTTGAGAGAATAGATTTCTTGGTTACTCCTTGAGTTGATCTTGTGTGTGCTTAAACATACTGCTTTTCCTTCCGGAGGCGTGTGCCAGGCTGGGTATTGTCACCCTTAGCTATTTTTGGAGGTCCTACTATGTGTCGGTGTCACCCACTCCACTGGATCTTGGATACACGGCTGGGTTGTTAATTGGGTGCACAGATTCAGGCACCAGGGTTCCTAAGTGTGTGTTGGCCCTGGCGCTCAGGAAGTTACGAGCTTGGTGTTTTTTAGGGTCCTCGTCGCTCACCTGGGCTTCTACACAGCCCCTGCCTCCCGAGGTGCTGGGAGAACTCTGTACCCGGCAGGGACTCTGGGGGTGTTCGCCAGGACTCTGGGTAAACTACCAGGTGACTTTTCCTCTAAGGCTCCCTAATGCCAGCTTTTCAGTCCTCCGTTTCCTGCAATAGTATAACGAGTCCATTGTCAGCCTGAAACTTTCGTCTCCACACAGACCTCCCAGGCAGGCTCACCAGCTTCTTGGATTTCTCCTCTGGAATTCTGATCGTCACTCTGTACTATGCTATGGTGCACTGCATAAGGTAGAAAACAGGCAGACTGTGTTAGAAGTCACTGAGGATTTTAAGGGAACGTGGCAGGATGGTTTGTTGAACAGAAACCAACATGGGGGATTTATGTTTTTCTGTCTTTTTTTCTGAGACAGGGTCTCACTATGCAGTTCAGGCTGGCCTTGAACTAACTGAACTTATTTTGTAACTCAGGCTGGTCTCGAACTCACAACAATCCTTCTGCCTCAGCCTCCTGAGTGCTGGGATTACAGGCATGTGCCACCACGCCTGGCTGGATTTATGTTTTTAAAAATTGCATATGTGCATATGAAAGCCGTGAGTGTAGTCCAGAGAATGGAGTGCGAGGCTGAGTGACCAGGTTTTGGAGGAGGTGGTCAGGCTAGCCTCTCTAGGCCGGGGTCAGGGTTACGCTGCTGTCACTTTCTGTCCTGACCTTGCCTCCCCCTGGGCAGAGGAGCTGATTGGCTGCGCTGGGTCATGTGGTTTCTTCTTGCTTTGGGCTCGGGAGCAGCAGACTCTTGAGGAGTTGCCTGTTTGGGAAGGGTCAGTGGCCCACATGAGTCACTGGAACTTCGCAGAGCAGATGAACACCGGCTCACTACCTCTGAGACGCATCAATATTCCACTTCTGTGACAGGGTTCACTACCTCTGAGACGTATCCATATTCCACTTCTGTGACAGGGTTCCACCGTCCAGGCCAAGCTGGGGAAAAGGGACCGATGGGTGATGGAAGGGGTGGGGGCAGGAGGCTTTGGCATTGGTGGCGCTCGGGGCCGCAGAGCGGCTCTGCCGCTGGTCTTGTGTGAGTTAAAAGCTGTTGCACTGTGCTCTGCACGGAGTCAACTCCATGCAGGATATCAGTAAAGTAACAGTAAGCAAAAGGATACCCGTGGGTAATGAAATGAAGCCACGGATGGAAGCAGCAATGGCCAGAGGACCCGTAACGACTGCTTTTCCTTTTTCTGGCCGCAGTATTTGGAACTTCGGTTTAACAGAGCCATCCGCCTCTGCGGGACAGTCATCTTCATCGTTCAGACCGTAAGTGGCCTCCCCTCATTTACGTTCCCTCCCGTCCCTCATGCATTTTCATTCATGGCATCCGCGTGGACCTGGCTTGGGAAACACACGGGTGTAAAAAAGAGGTCGAAAATATGGGGAAATAAAACAGAGGCACCCGTTGGCACTCACTAGGGTATTAAGTCTCAGGAGCACGGAGCGGCCTTGCAGCAAAGCTTTACCTCCTGGGAAAGCAGAGCGACTGATTTGTGGTTGGCCCTGCATGGACCACACAAGAGGCCTGTGCTTAGGGAAAGGCGCTTCCCCGGCCCGGCCAGCACCACCGTGACAGTTAGGACACTGACTCGGTGGCACATGGATTCCAGGGGCGGCAGCAGCTGGCAGTAAGACTCTGAGTGAGGGAAAACAAGAAGGATGCTTTTTACTCCCTGTTTTGGGAGCAGGTTGAGTAATAGATAAGAAAAACCTGACAGGAAGACACGAGGAAACAATTTGATTTGTCGGCAAGGTGCCTACAAATGAATCCGTGCTCTTAGAAAGCTGAGCTGTAGGAGCACCTGAAGCAGCCCTTGGGGTGTCAAGGGAAAGGGAGGGAGGCTCCGGAGAAGGATTGAATAGCAAGCATTTAAGGAGAACACCAGTGGCCAAGCTCCAGGCCGGGCCTGTAACCCAGCACCCCCGGCAGGCAGGCCGAGGCGGGAGGTGGTGGATCCCAGCCCAACCTGGGGAACTTAGCAACCCAGCAAGACCCCATTTCAGAATACAAGATAGGGTTAACAGGGGGCTGGGGCTATAGCTCCCCTCAAAGGCTTTCCGTTCAAGCCCCAGTACTGCCAAGAAAAGCTTTTAAAATGCATATGCAAATGTGGACGTAGTGATTGTCACACAGGTAAAGCAGGATTTGCTCTATGATAAGTGACTGAAGAACGCTTCCACGGCTTCCTGGGCTGCCGGAGGTTTCCCGTGACTGTTGTCACCTCCGTGGAAGCCCTCTTCTACCCTGTTTGTGTTCAGCACAGACAGCTGAGAGTGATCAGAGGCCGCCTGAGCACCGACTCCAGGGGACGGAGACAGAGTGCCTTGGACAACTTCAAACTCTGGACCATCTTTTACCTTTGCAAATCCTTTGCAAAGGATGTGGCTTCTGGGGTCTGGCAGAGATTCCGACCCGAGCTGCGGTGGCTGGCACTGTTCAGATCTCCCTCAGTGGGTTTATGCTAAAGACGCCCACAGGGAAGAAAAGTGTGGCCGGCAGTCAGGATGGGAGCAGTCAGATTCTTGGATACTCAGCCTGGGCGTAGTGACCGCTGTGGAGAGCGAGCTCAGGTTTTTCAAAGAAAGGAGCCGTACCGTTTCTCTCCTGCAGCGTAAGCAGGTTTCAAGCAGTACTACTATGTTTGTATGAGTCTTTGTTTTTCATGGAATAATTTTGGAATCAGCTTCCATGTGACACATTGGAAGACAATGTGGGGGAAATGTTTTTTGAAATACATTTTAAAAGAGAAAATGATATTTTGAGCAAAAGACTGTATCTTACTATTATACCCAGTATGATAGATCAATATAGTATAATCAGATCAATATAATCAGATTTATTGGATTATATGAGTGAAAAATAAAAAAAATATAAAAATGAGCTATAGTATACAGTGGCTTTCAGGATTATTTTAAGTACATATTCACATTTTGTCTAATAGGTGCACAAACATTTAAATACCAGTTTTTAAAATTTTTACTTTAAAAATTACTTGTGATCAGCCATAGTCTAAAGTCGGGCATAAGTGCCCTTCCCCTAGCAAATTTGTATTTCCTTGTTTTTATATGTTTCAGGCCTAGGAAAATTAACTTCAGCTGGCACAAGTGGCTCATTGAGCATTCGCAGTAATCACTACATAAAAAATACCCAGATTTTACAAAAGTTTGGTCATAAAAGATTTCTGTAACCTGTGACCACACTATAAATAAGAATGAGTTATACTTCACATTTTCAAGTTATAATTTTACTAAGACTGCTGTCTGAATTCCTCACTGTTCTAATGGGAAAATCAATGTTTTATAACTCACACCTAACCTTCGTGACTGTTGTCATGTGACTGTTTATAATTCGTAGAGTTCATCTGGATTTCTTTTCTCCCGTAGATTCTGTACACTGGAATTGTCATCTATGCTCCTGCGCTGGCTTTGAATCAAGGTACATTTGATTTTATTTTTCTCTCTTTTTATTAGTGACGCACGGTGAACACATTCACCCTGGGGACCGGGACCTATGCGGGTCACATCCCCTCCCCGCCCTTCTCCCCACCCCCAGACCCTGTTGGATCCTCCAGTCTGGTTTGTTCCTATCATCTGTCCTTTACTATTTGCTCCTTATTTATACTCTGGATTTCTCCTATAAAAGACGGACCACGTGATAGTTAGGCTCGCGTGCCTGATTTAGTTTACCTAATGTTGTGGTCTCCCGGAGCATCCATTTTCCTAAAGGCGACCCAGCTTTATCCTCTTTGTGGCAGAGTGGTGCTCCAGGGTGTGTAAATCCCTGTCTCCTCTATCCATTCATCCAGCTGAGGGATGCATGAGCCGCTCCCATGATTTAGCCATTTTCAAAGTGGCAAATCAGGCAGCTCAGTTTGGGGCTCAATTTCAGTAAGCCTCGTGCTCTCCGTGGAGAGACAGAGGATGAAGGGTGCTGCCGGTCACCCACATCGGGGCTCCTCAGACGGGGTGTCTTTCCCGTGTACACTTAGAGAGCTCTTTCCCGGATCTTGTCTCGTCTGGGGAAGTTTATGTTTGTGATCATGGGGAAGTTATTGGAATTCTAGCGAGTTAATTCCAATCCACCCCTTCCACTGCGACCCAGGTGAGAATAAACACCCTAAGGCAAATAGACAGTTGTGGGGGGGCAAGGGGCTCTGAGCCCAGCCCAGATGGTGTTCACTGGAACGAAGGCCAGAGCCCAACCCGGGTTTTATTAATTCCCCGCGAGGGGCGTGGCTCAGGGGTGAGTGACAGTGAGAGTGGCGGGAAATTTGTGACTGCTGTGACTGCTGTGAACCGGGCTAGGAAGGAGGTTTAAGATCACCCCTGTGATGAGCAGAGGGAGGAAATGCAGAGAGAGAAAGCAACCTGCAAAACACAGCTGAGGCCGTGTCTAATCATCTGGGGTCGGTGCTTCAGCTCTGATGCACGTGCACGGTCCGTCTGCCCCGGGAGGTCACGGCCCTTTTTCTCCAGGCTCCGTCCCAGCGGACAGTGTGGAGCAGGGCTCTCCATCCCGCCTGGCTCTACCACATATCTGTGGGGTCACTGGGCGGGGGGGGGGGACCTCAGCCTGCTGGAATTCTTGTGCTCAGTTAGAAGCGAGTTAATCTCCAAAACTTCCTTGTGAACTGGGCAGGTGGAGGCTGAAGGGAAGGAACGTGGTGGGATTCCTGGGGTGAATGCCTTATGGAGAAACCCGCTCACCCTCCCCCTGCCGTCTTGATTTTATAAGAGGTGTGGTGGTCATTCTCCCTGTCCACGCAGCAGGACCGGATGGTCACAGTGCGCCCTTATCTCTAAATGCCAGCCGGGTGCCACCTTCCTGATCAGTTTCTGACCTCAGGAATGGCTACAGGTCAGGAAGTGAGCTGGCTCTCAATGTCCTGAGTTACCTATTTATCTTAGGGATCATTGCAGAGGTTAGAGTTTTAAAGTGCACCGACGGTAATCTGTGAAGACATCAAGGATTCTGTTCTTCTTAGACTGAAGTCCTGTGCAGAGTAAGGAGGACCAGGGTCTTCGTGGAGAGCCCTGAGTGTCACCTGTGTACTCACCCTGCGTGTTAGTGCTGTCTCTGTCAAGCTGCGTGTGGACGTGGGGAGGTGCACTGGCTGATTTTTGAATGTTAAATACATCTCGCAGCCTTGGGATAAGCCCCCTCGGTTGTCGGGTATCAGCCCTCTTACACATTAGTGCATTTGGGTGGGGCGTTTTGTTAAGGGTTTTGTAGCTCCTGAGGGATTTTGCACCAAAGCCTGGGTTTCTGACTCTGTCAGATTTTTTAACCAGCTGTGCTGGCTGCATAAATGAGTCAAAAAGCGTTTCCTCGTCCGTTTTTCTTGAAAGAGTTTGCATAAAACCTGTGTATTTCTTTTTTAAAGGCTTGCTGGAATTAAAAATAAAGGCACTTGGGTCTGATTTTTTTTTTTTTTTTTTGTGGAAAGATTTTGGTGTATCAATTCAATTTATTTAATAAATTTAATGCTAATATTAAATTATTAGTGTTTTAAACTTCTTTACTGTCAATTTTGATCACTGTATTTTTTTCTGGGAATTTATCTACTTTTCTAACTTATAAACTTTCCTGACAGTTGTTTGCAAAGAGAGACCATATCCTGGGCCACTGAACAAGTCACAGTAAATGTAAGGATTAAACTCACAAGAGTGGCAGTTGTCTACCAAATCAGTAGCAAAATTACAAGCTAGAAAGCTTCCCAATATTTGAAAGTTAACATTGTTCTGAATAATCCACACAGAAAACAAATCACAAAAGAAACTAGAAAATATTTTGAACTGAAAGATAATAAAAATACCAGCTTACCAGGGGTTCAGAAGACACACTGTTTAAAGAAAAATTTATAACCTCGGGAATGTATAAGACAAGAAATATTTAAAATTAGTGATCTAAATGTCTACCTTTAAGCTAGAAAAGTTAAACACAAAATAAATAGAAGAAATAAGTTAATGAAACAGCACAAATTAAAGAAGTAGAAAAAGAAAATTAACAAAACTCAGAACTGGTTCTTATAATTAAAAACATCGATAAGCTGGGTGAAGTGGCACACACCTCTCATGCTAGCACTCAGGAGGCTGAGGCAGGAGGATCACCATGAGTTCAAGGCCAGCCTGGGTTAATAGGGAGACCCTGTCTTAGAAACAATAAATAAATAAATACATGGATTTATACGTAAGATACAGCAAGAACACAGATAAAAAGGCATCTTATCAGTATTAAGAATAGATAGAAGGAATGTCTGCTACTAAAAAGAATGTGCGTGATGCGGTTAAGGTATTCAAATAGTCTACACCTGTCTCTCTCTCTCTCTTCTTTCTTGGTGATGGTAGCACTGGGGATTGAACCCAGGACCTTGCCCATTTGAGGCAAATACTCCACTGCTGAGCTACTCCAGCCCTCTAACATTTTGGGTCTCTATTGACTTTTAAACTTGTTCTATCAATCACTGAGAAAGAAACGTTGAAATCTACAAATGTAAAAACTAGTTTTTCTGTTTCTTCCATTCTGTCAGTTTTTAATGGATGTAGCTTGAAGCTCTTTTAAAGTTTCTTTTAATTTATAATCTCCCTCCTTTTCCTCTCCCTTTAAATTGCATTTCTTTGTTGAGGAAATTGCATCCTCATGGGGGTCACTGAACACTTTTCCACACCCTCTACGTTTCCTGTGAACAGTTGTGGTTATGTCTAGGTGTTCAGGCTGCAGCCCAGCTCTTTAGAAATGACATCCCCTCGGCAATGCTTGTAAGTTTATAATTTTAAGTTAATTAAGACTTAAAGAATGGGATAGTCTAGGTTTTTGTTCTGTTTTCATTAATGCGATGGCGCACAGCGGCAGAGAGAGGCTTGCTGGTCATTTGGTTACTCTGAAAAGACAGATTGCAGAGGAGAGGCCTGGGCAGGAGCCGACTCCAGGGTTAGTCATATACAGAGCGAGTGGAGCTGAAGGCTGAGGCTGGAGCTCAGGGTGGAGCACAGCCTGCACCCGAAATACGCAAATAAAACGAGAGGAAAATAGTTTCTCTACTATCTCCTAAGCCAACTGAGATTGTTTTTTTTGTTTAAAAATACATCATTATGGGTTTCTGATTTACATACATGCTGCCGTTTCGTATCGTAAGGTCGGTATTATTATCAACGCTCCAGTTGCCTGTCTTATCCGCAGGGGTTCCTGGGGGAGGTCCCCTGATTTCTCCACCTGGGCTGCACCTCAGAGTCATGTGAGAATCTTTAAGAACTGCTGATACTTAGGCGCGCACCCCAGACCTGTGAGTTAGCTAGCGCACTGAGCAGTTTAAAAGTTGCTCTGGTAACCGGGGATGGTGGTGCACATCTGCAGTTCCAGCATTGGGAGGCTGAGGCAGGAGGACTGCCACAAGTTCAGGGCCAGCCTGGACTACAGAGTGAGACCCTGTCTCAAAAAACAAACAAACAAACAAACAAACACATAGTATCTCCCCCACCCCGACAGCAATAAAAATCTCCTGTAGTGCAATCAAATTTTAGAATCCCTGTCCTAATAGATTTAGAATAATTTATTCCAGTACTGTAACTCATAATGTGATGATTGAAAAGTTACAGGTGTTTTTTTCTTTCCAGGTCACTCTTCTTTAGGGCACACCCCTCTAGGGGTGCTTATAGAATTGCTGTTTTGTCTTTAATTATTTTGGGGGTCTTTTTTGAGCCAGCACCTCGTCATGTAGTTCAAGCTGGCCTTGAACTCACTATGCATCCTAGGCTGGCCTCAAGCCCTCGGCAACCGTCCTGTCTCAGCCTCTCAGGTGCTGGGATTACAGGAATGTACCGACAAGCCCAGCTGAGTGGCTGTGTTTTGTGGCACATTTTTCTCAGTCTGGTGCTGTCACAGATTTCCTACACAGCTAGATCAATTTCTTCCAACTCACTTTTGATTTTAAGTTCTTTCCAATTTTTTAATAATTACGTTAAATATATGGATGGTTCCAAAGTCAAATCTACAGGACGTTTGCAGAGGTGTCTCGTTTCCTCCTGATTGCCCGCCCATACTCTGTCTTCTTCCCTGTGTTTAGGTAACTGCTATTTTGGTTTGGCCTTCATTTATCCTTCCTTTTAAAGACTATCATACACCCGTACATTTTTATGATAGATGGTAACTAGGGACACAGACTTTTCTCCATCTAAGTTCTGTTTGGTAGCGTGCACCCTAGGACGGCATCTCTCGAGGACGGGTGACACTGCATGTTTATCTGGATGGTGTCTCGCGGCAGAGAGATGCATCCTCGGCTGGTCACCGGCCTGAGCAGACAGACACCTCGTGATACCGGCAGCTTCTCAGCCGAGTGGCCGCAGTGGTGCCCTTCTGGCCTCCGCTTGGAGACGGCTGTCATCGGGGCTGTTTAACTCACTGAAACCATTTTACACTATGTTTCTGTGACATTCAGAGTCGCATCCTAGTTTTCGGGAAGTAGATACAGGAAAGCTCTGAGTAAATGAGATTGCTTCCCTCTCTGGAAATTCCCGATGTTTCTGGCATATTTCTCAGCTGTACGTTTCTTTTTCCCTCTGCAGTCACAGGGCTCGATCGGTGGGGCGCGGTGGTGGCCACCGGCGTGGTCTGCACGTTCTACTGCACACTGGTAAGTATGGTGAGAAGACCATAAATTCTCAGTTGTGCGGAGCTGTAAAATGGGCTTTTTACACCTAGACTCCTGCTCCTGACCTCCCGCTCTATGACTTTTTCTGTAAGGAGTATTTGGTTTGGGGTCAAACTGGATCCTTGATAGAACATGAATCACAACTGAACTTGGTTTCTTTTGCCTAAATCACTGCACTGGTCCTGCTCTCCTCTTCTGGTCCATTCCTGCTGTCGCCAGACTCCTAGAACCGTGCTCAGCTAATTCCTCAGCACAGAAGCTGTGATTACTTCCAGATGCCCAGGCCAGGAGTGGCAGGATGCTGGTCGTACCACCAGTGTGGACATTTTTTAGGACCGATGTGTATCTTATGGGATCTTTGATAACCGACTCTTGAGTTGCTGGATCCTATAGAAGACAGGGACCCCAGTCCTAAGGACCAAAGGGGGACACTCGAGGAGTTTGTGGGTGGCTGGGGCAGAGCAGTGCTGGACTCGGGACAGCCACGGTGACCTTCATGGTGAGTACTGACTGCACACCAGCCCTGCTTAGAGGACCGACTGTGACACTGACCTGCGCAGTTCAGCTCTGAAGGTCTCCTTGGCTGTGTCCCCCGCCCTGGCCACGTCAGCGGGCTGGGGAAATCGACCCCACATGCTTAGGGCCAGGCTGTTTTCCGTCTCTGCCTTTGACCACGCTTGAGGGCCCGGCTCGGGCGTCTCCTTTGTCACTGTTCCCCCAACCCGGTCATCTCTCTCCAGTGCGTTTCTTGGCCAAGCTCTGGGTTTTCATCACTTTTGCCCAGCATGGTGTATCAGCAGATGGACGCTTGGTCATGTCTGTTAGATGCGTTAATCCCAATATTTTCTCTCTCTCTCTCAAGGGCGGCCTCAAAGCGGTGGTCTGGACAGACGTTTTCCAAATCGGCATCATGGTGGCCGGATTTGCATCTGTGATTATCCGGGCCGTGGTAATTCAAGGCGGCGTGGAGAGGATCTTAAATGACGCATACAATGGGGGAAGATTAAACATCTGGAAGTAAGTTTCTCTTTACCTCCCGGGGGCGGAAGAGGGTGAAGGATCAAAGACAGGAGTCCTGATGTAGACAGCCGAGGTCTGCCCGATGGGAGAGCAGGACTGCTCAGCGACCGCAGTATTCACACTCTCGGCGGTCCGTGTCACTGACACTGCTGCCGAAGCCTGTTTGCTCGGCCTCCCTCGGGCTCTCCTGTTCTCCAGCCGGAGCAGCTTGCTCACGTGGCTCGCCTCCAGCACTGTGTGTTGGTAGGATGGGCCTTGCTTCAGTCCCGCGTGTGCAATCCATCTCCAGCTTCCGCTGCTCCCAACATGTGAACCTGGGTAAAATTTCCAGAAAACTGACTAGGAAAGAGATGACTGATGTTTGGGGTGACAGCATGACACAGGGTATAATGTATCTTAAGTAGCTGTCCAGTTTGCCGAAGAAGAAGGAGGAGGAGGAGGAGGAGGAGGAGGAGGAGGAGGAGGACGAAGAAGAAGAAGAAGAAGAAGAAGAAAAAAAAAAGAAGAAAAGAAGAAAAGGAATCATGGAAAAGCTAGACTTTTTTACCCCAAATATTTCATAAAATTTAAAGACATTTTTAACAGCAGTTCCCCCATTGTGACATTAGGATCAGGCTTGTGTATCACAGCCAGTGTGGGAAGACACTACTTTTAACCTGGACCAGGCTTTTCCCTCTCTGAGCAGCCTTTCACTGAGATAGGCGATTGGAAATTACTGGCAAGAAGAAAGAAAACCACCCAGTCACTGATGGCTCTTTTCTGGTCTTCTGAAAATAGGCACTAATGCTAGAGAAGAGCTTTTTCAGAAATTGACTTAATACATTAGCTTGTAGAAATGAGTTTCAGTGAACCACATTAACCCATTTTAATAATTTTTCCTCGTGACCTCAAGGTTCGAGCTTGCAGGAAGGAAGCCCCAGTCGCCTCTCTTGGGCCGCGGTTCCCTCCCTGCCCAGGACACAGGCACTGGTGCTATTTAATGGGCAGGGCTAGTTTCTCCAACACAGCCCCGAGTTCTTTTATCAGAAAAGAGGAGCAATGGACACCAGGAGTCAGAAATGACCGGTGCCTTCTTGGGAGAGCTCGATTATTTTCACGTCTCTTCCTGGAGGACCAGCCTGTGGGGAGAAAGTGTGCCACTAGCCGTCTGTCTGCAGGTCACTGTCCTTTATGCCAAGGATGCACACACTCGGGCAACGAAGCAGTAGCTTATACGTCACAAGAGATTTAGAAATCTGTTCTGGTGAGATAACTGAAGAGAAGGACCAAAACTAATGAATTAAATCCTTGGATCTTGTGTTATTTCCTTCTGAGAGTTCACGGAATATTTCGGCTCTTGATTTCCATTAATAGTGTGGGGACTTTGGGGGGGAAAGAGCTGACACTCTCGAAGCTCTTACACTTTGATACTAAATGTTAGGCAATGGCACAGAACCTCTCGCTTTTTTGTAGAAATACTGTACTTAAATAGATGCAAGATCAGAATATTTTACTCCAAATGATCTCAAATGTAAGATCTGGAAAATTTTGTAAGTTTTAGAAAGTGTATTAGTAAGTTTCCCCATCCCTGAGGTGCAATATCTGATAACCACAATTTAAAGGAGGACACTTTTACTGGGTTCATGTTTGAAGGGGGTTAAGTCCATGGTCAGCTGGATCTAAGACAGGAACATCATGGTGGAAGGAGGCGGGGAAGCAGAGCTCCTTAATTCATGGCAGCTGGAAAGCAGGGCAAAGGGACTGGGCAAGAGAGGAAGGCGAGGGACCAGTGCCCAAGCTCACACCTCCATGACCCACGCAGCACACCCAGAGGTGTTCACCGACCCTCTGGGAGGCCCCCAAGCCAGTCAAGTCAACACGGTCAAGCTCAACCTCCACATGTTCATGAAAGCTAGTTGTGCAGAGAGTTCCCAAGTTCACCCTTCAGGTCAGAGATGAACGGAGTCCTTAGGTTGTGAGTGTTTAAAAGGGTAAGCGTTAGGTCAAACATGGGAGTCGAGCTTTCTCTGTAACGGTATTTGAGACAGGCATGATCACAAAGTGGTTTTAAAACATGGGTATTTAGCTTGTGCGTGCAGCATTTTGGGAAAACACAATTATAATCACACATGGTAAGTTTAGCAGGTAAAAAGCCATAAGCTGTGCTAATTGATTGGCTTCTTGATCTTGAATTTGAATTAGAACTCTGGCTCTACATGTGCTAAGAGAGGAACTGTAGACACAGAAAATGTTACTGTGTGTTGCTGTGATGCACTTAGGATTCTCCCTCTGTCTCTGTCTGTCCCTGTCTCTGTCTCTGTCTGTCACTCTCTCTCTCTGTCCCTCTCCCTATTCCCCTCCTCTGATTACAGTTTGACAGATTATTAAATGATTTTCCTAAAACTGTGGGAGAACAATTTCTCTAAATGCTCAGAATCATTAGAGCACGGCTTTTCCATACGTCCCATTTAGAATTTCCAAATCTCTCACAGTAGCAACTGATATGTCACTGATCTTGAGTTGGATCTTTTATAGTCTGATCTTTTATATTGCTTAATTTTTTCACAGACTTAGAAATGTCTATAGGTACATCTTGCTTTCATAGAAAAATACTGTAGGAGGACTTTCTTTCATCTTTGGTCAGTAATTTGGGTTTGTTTCCTGTTTCTTTCCATTTAGTTTTAACCCTAACCCTCTGCAAAGACACACATTCTGGACGATCGTCATAGGAGGGACCTTCACGTGGACCAGCATCTACGGGGTCAACCAGTCACAAGTGCAGAGATACAGCGCCTGTAAAAGCAGATTCCAGGCGAAACTGTAAGCCAAAACACAGTGTGCGAATCATGCACAACCATCAGTGGTGTTTATGAGCGCCTCTGTAGTCAGGTTCAGCTCAAGTTGAAGACTTTTGTATGATGAAAGTCCAAGAGATAAACGCTATGCTTGGTTAAAAAAGACAGAGCATACCAAGCGATGCTGTAGCTTTTAAATCAGATATTTGAAAAAACTTTATGAATTGTTAAGCAAAACAACCTCCTGGAATAAATAGGCAGTTGAAGGATCTATGGGATATTTAAAAATAGAAATACAACCTGGGCTTTACTTGCGTGGTGGAGCAGGTGTCTGATACCCTCCCGGGTCTCAGCACCTCAGAAATGTAAGTGTGTACAGCTCCAGCCATGATGGAACTGGATCTCGAACTAGGGAAAAAATATGCAAGCATGTGACAGCGGGGACAGCACTGCAGAGATGCAGCCGTTCCTGAAAGGGTGACAGGGGAGATGCTCCCGAGCGGAGGCGGTGACCTGAGTTTTATTTCAGCCTCGGTTGTGGGTTCCTAAGTCTGCTCTAATGCTTGGTGCTTGAATTACCCTGGACCAGTGGTCTGTCCTGCCGCACTCCCGTTCCTGAGCGTGGGAAGTGAATGTGGGAAATCACATGTGTCCCGTAAGAAGTTCTCTAAAATGCCGCATTCGGCACACAGGGAGTAGGGGTCCCCTGAGCAGGAGCCCCTTTTTGCATTTTTGGGGTGCCATGTGGAAGGTGGCGAGAAGCTCCTGTTTACCTGGCAGAAGAAACATAAAGAACCATCATGACTCGGGCAGGTGCATGGCGGGGTGACTCAGACAGAGGCAGGGGGCGAGGCTGGGGTGGCTGAGCACCCTCAGGCCCATCTCGGCTGAGAACACGGCACAGAGCAGTGGCCGTGTGGCTTCCTTTGGAGGCCTCGGGGCCGCTTGATGACTTCTGTCCTCACAGTGATGGATGAGGCTGACCTCCTCCTGGGCACCGAGGGGCTTGAAAACCTGAAACAGATGGCTCCAGAATGGCAGGGTGGGAGCGAGAGATTCAATTCTGTTCCCATTCAAAGGAAAATAGGAAAATATCGTGCTGGTTTTATCTCAGAACTCAATGTACGTGTACATTGGTTTACAGCTTTGGTTACTGTGTATGTTTCTGTATGGTTACTGTGTATGTACAAGCCAATTCCTTGAAAACCGCCACAACAGAAGGTCCATGTTAATTTTGATGTGGCAGCTGGCTACAGAATTACACAAAAACAACCTTAGAGGTTCTGATGTTTTAAGATATGTTGAAGGACTGTAATTTACATAAACAGGGATCTACTGGGCTTTTAAATCTATCTGAGAGTGAGGCTCTCACCAAAGTCACGCCCACCAAAGTCAAAGCAGACTCTTCGGTCCGCTGAAAACACAAAACTGAACCCCCATCTCAATTCTGTGGCTAAGTCCATTCCTTCAGAATGGCCCAAAAGGTCTCTAGACTGAGACAGACCGTCCGAACCCAGGGGAGCTGGTCCACCGCTCTGCACTGTGAATTCCTGCTGGGGCGTAGGAATCTTATCACAGTCCATTGACAAGGGTCAGTACCAGAGGTTTGTAAGGAATCTATCCGAACATCACCGAAGTGAAATAAAACAGTGTGAGTTTAGCGTGTAAAACTCAGACATCTGCTGGGCATGGTGGTGCACCCCTGTCATCCCAGCACCCGGGAGGCTGAGGCGGGAGGGAGGATCGTTTCGAGTCCAAGACCAGCCTGAGCTGCAAAGTGAGCTCAAGGCCAGCTTGAACTGCATAGTGGGACCCCGTCTCAAAAAGACAAAATAAATAAATAAATGAATGAAGCAAGCACATGGCGGACGTTATCACGATGAACAGGGTCGACAAGAAGCCTGGGAAGCCAGGGCATTCAGACCTGTGTCTTCTACTCACGGCTGATCTTAGAAATTACACTCAAATATTTTGGGAGTTGCTGTGTGGACGCTAACCATGTGGGTTAGCGTTCCGACCGTGTTACTTCTTAAAAGGAAAACAAGCAGTAATTCCGGCCCTGTTGCTGTGAAGACACATATTTTCTGACAAGAAGGCCAGTGGTAGTGTAATTAGATGCCATGATAAAATTACCATGCCTGTGGGATTCCAGCCAGAAGGACACACACATTTATTAGCAAAATATCATCTGTTACAGATACCAGATTGTTATTGGCTGACACCATAAGACTTTAGAGTAGACTGAAAAGTAGCATTTTTGATAGCCAAACGATAACATGCATTGATTGAATATAATCATGAAGCTCTTTCTGCTCAGGTCACAGAGCTCTGTCCTTCTTCTTCTTCTTCAGGTCTCTCTACATCAATCTTCTGGGACTCTGGACAATCGCCGTCTGCGCGATGTTTTGTGGGCTTTCCCTGTATTCCAGGTACCTGGACTGTGACCCCTGGACATCCAAGAAGGTGTCCGCGGAAGACCAGGTCTGGTTCCACGTCTCTCTTCCTGGGGTGGGGTGGGGTGGGGTGTGTGATGAGCCCCTGTCCATGTAGAGCCACAGCGAATGAGCACGAGCTAATCATCTTCTCTTCTATAAAGCGTGCGGCAGACTTTCAGCAGACAGGGCAAGCACGCAGAATGCTGTGTCTAAAGTTAAATTATCGGGACACCTGGAAAAACTCTGAGCCAAGCGTTAAATGGAATCACACAGTGCTGGAGGCAGAAATGTGAACACCAACCTAAACACCTACACGCAAATCAGAATATTGCATATTCTCTACTAAAAGTTTCTCATGTATTAGATGAGGAAACTGAGGCTCAGTGGAATTAAGTAACCAAAGCCATCTCTGCCTGAATCCAAAGCCTGTTTACTTAGCGATTGTGCTTTTTGGTTTAAATGCTAGTTTACTTTTAGGGGCTCTGAAATCTCCTTTAGTGGGAAGAACATTCCTGGAAGAACAACACTCTTAGGTGTTGTAGTCAGGAACGGTTGGTTTTATTCAACAGCCAGAGGCACTTAGGGGTCCATTTTGGAATTTTCCAGCTCTTGCCTTACCTGGTACTGGACATTTTTCAAGGTTATCCCGGCGTTCCTGGGCTTTTCGTGGCCTGCGCTTACAGCGGGACCTTAAGGTAGGCAGAGGCTCTGTGAACACGCTGTCCTCCAGGGGTCTGTCTGTCCTCATTGGTTCCTTTGCGGGGAGAGCTCTATGCTGTGCGTGTGAGGCACCATTGGGTCATGGTGGGCGGAGCACTGCCCCTGTTCACTGGCCCCTCTCTGGGGAGGGGACTCACACCCTGCCGTCCCCGAGGCAGGCTGCTGTGGTACAGCGTTGCCTTCTGGGAGCTGGCTGCTGGCGGATGGCAAGGACACCTCTGTGTGGATGTAACTCCCTGGTCACATCCGATGAACCCCAGAATCTTTTCCTCACCAGCATCTGGTGTCTACACCAGCATCTGATCATCGCCTACCCTGACAGTGACCACTGGGCAGTAGCTGTGTTTATCAAAACTCCATGCCCACCCAGGGCCTCTCAGACAGACTCCCCCATTTTTCCAGTAGGACTCGATGTCGGGGTGCTGCAGGCCTCCGCCCTGCCCTCGCACCCCGCCCCTCTCCAGCACGAGAATCTCAGACCAGCACCGTCTCCACATCACACCACCAGCACAGACAGAAGTCACCTCCTGTGCCCGGGAGGATGTCATTCCCAGAATCCGGCTTCTTCCAGCCTGGAACAGTGACTGGCCCTTCCATCTGTCTCGGACTTCATATGCTTTTCTCAATATTTTCGGCATAGAAATCTTAGATGTATTTTGTTAGGTTATTACTGAGATGCCTGCTGGTTTATTATGCCATGCAAATATCATTGTAAAATGTCACACTTTGTGGGTTGATTGTAGGTGACAGCATGGGCATTCATATACTGGCACTGGTTTTGCAAGTCTGCCTAAGTCACCTACTAAGGCTTTTTTTTGAGATGAGGTCTTGTGATGCAGCCCAGGCTGATTTTGAATCTGTGGTGATCCTCCTGCCTCAGCCTCTCAAGTGCTGGGATTGCAGATGTGAGCTATCACACCCACCTCACTCATTAAATCCAATAAACTGCAGGATGTTATTTCATGAACGTGGTATCTGTAAACAAAATCTTTAAATTTTAGAGTAGCAGTCAGTCTAACACACACATGGCTAAAGCATGATCAACTGAAAAATTAGAACGGAATCGGGCGATGTGTCAAACGAGATATACTCTCGTCTAAAGCATCTTGGGTTTTATCACTGCCCTGCTTCCTGTGTTTGTGGTAGGAGACCGATATCAACATGCACAGCTAGGAAAGGGAGGGTTCAGGAGAGGACTATTTAAGGCACATGTCACTGAGGGCTTGTGACATTCCTGTCAATGCACAAAGAAAAATGTGTCTTTCAGTCCCATAATAATAATAATAGTAATGATACCATAACACTGTTCATTCTTATGGAAATAGAAGTGATGTAGGTGTATCCTCTATTACCCAGCTATGCCCTGGATCATTCCTGGATGATGACTACTTCCAAAGAGAAGACACCTTGGTTATTTTATTTATTTTTTGTGGTTCAGCTTTGGTTAGTAAGCATGGCAGAAATCTAGCTGCATTTGGGAAGCGCTCATCTGCCTCCTCCTCTCTCATCCCCGTGAACAGTGTTACGAAGGAAACATTAACAGGACTTTCTCCTCTGTTTCCCACGCAGCACAGTGTCCTCCAGTATTAACGCGTTAGCTGCGGTGACCGTGGAGGACCTCATCAAGCCCTGCTTCCGGTCACTGTCGGAGAGGTCGCTCTCCTGGGTTTCCCAAGGAATGAGTAAGCTCCTGCCTTCCTGGTTCCCTTGCAGCTCGGAAGGTGACTTCCTGTGAGACACTAGAAAGCCCTTTTCCGTGACAGAGCATTAAGCAAGTCCCAGTGAGAGTATGTATCACATCCACGTGTCCACAACTTAACGCAGACACGGCCGTGTTTACGACCGAGACTAGGAAGACACTTTAACTATTTCAGGCCAGGTGTGAGCTCGAGGCCAGCTTGAGCTACATAGTGACAGCCTGTCTTCAAACAGTTTTTTACTGTCAGCAGGCCAAACAGACAATTTCCAGGACTTGGTGAGATAAACATGATTTTCATTCACTTAAAGCATTCTGTGAATTCACTACACTGAAACATATGCAGTAAACACATCATAGGTAAGAACATGATAGATGGTTTCAATGTTTTTATTTTCCTAATAATTTTGAGTATTGAAACCGTACAGCAATTGTTCACGACCTTCCAAATGGGGCAGAATCAAACTAAATACAGAAAAGAACAATTCATGTCAAGTGTAAAAAAATCCAGGTACAATAAGATTCTTTACATTCTGTGTTTACCAAAGGTGCGAATGCAGGTGTGAATAAAATAACCTGACTTCAGGACTGCACTGATTACATGATGAGGATTTTTCTGTTTTCCTGCATTTCAAATTTTGGGCATTGGAAAGCCTCTTGACTGATCTAAAATAATTCTTACCGAATGAAATTTTTTTAAAAAATTAAAGCTAGGAGGAGGGGGTTAATGTTTTACTTAATTTAAAAAAGAAAATGTAGGTACCTGGAGGAAAAAAGTGAAAGTTACAAGAGGGAATGAAAATCCTACAACCTGACAAGCAAGAGTGGTTTAAAAAGCTCTATAGGGGCTGGGGATTTAGCTCAGTGGCATAAGCCCCTGCCTTGCAAGCAGGCAGTCGTGAGTTCGATCCCTGGTACCGATAAAAAGAAAAAAGACCAAAAAAAAAAAAAAAAAAAAAGCTCTATTAAAAAGTTTGGGGAAACAGCTGGCAGAGTGGGGGTAGGAACCGGACCTGAAGTTATCCTTTCTGCAGGTTTATCAGGAGAGGCTGGGGCGCTGCTGGTGGTTTGGCCCCAGACCAGGGCGACCCAAATGCGGAAGTCAGAGGCTCCGATTTCTGGGGTTTACTCCCCCCAACTCCTTTTCATCTGCAGTAGGCGGAGCACGGAGTCCTGAGCCTGCCTTATAGACACGTTTACAGCAGATTAGATGTGTAACACGGCACAGCGGTGCTTAGTTTTTAGTTCCCTGGGTTAATTCCGGGGAGTCTCCCCAGTGAAACCTGCTGTCCTCACACCTAGTCCTGGGCCACCACACGTGGGCTTTGTGGAAAACCTCTTCCTTTGTCCTGCTGGCTCCGCGATGCGCGGCCATTCCCGACTTCTCTTGCATCATCTCGTCTCTGCCCTGAGGGAACCGTGGCCCATTCTCCTGGGAGGCCAGTTCTGTGGGTGGGGATCTCACGGTGCCTTTGGTGTCGCCCCCTAGGTGTGCTGTACGGCGTCCTGTGCATCGGAATGGCTGTTCTGGCCTCGCTGATGGGAGGTTTGCTGCAGGTGAGAGCTGACTCAGACGACAGAAGTCGTAGTCACAGAATCCCTTTTTATCTTTAATGTTCATGCACAGTCGTTCCAGATGTCTGTCCTCTGGCACAGCTGCACCGAAGGATGGGGCGGGGGGGATGGACGGATGGACGGACTGTGTGTTAGTTACAGGTTGACACGCAATTGCAAGAAGTGATACAGAACTGCACAGATCTGTGCCACCCGATGGCAATGTCTTGGAAAAGTGTCTCACAGTGGGAACACTTTGATGACACAGTATCAGAACCAGAATACGGACACAGTATGGTAAGGGGGGGAACCATTTGGTAGCAGGAAGGGCCCTGTGGATATCTTCTGTGGCCACACTCACTTCTCTCCTGCCCCCACGCGCAGTCTTTGGTGACCACCAATCTGTCCTCCATTCTGACAGTTTCGTCAAGAGTGTTGCATGAATGAAATCCCGTAACCTTTGAGATCTCCCTGGTTATTGCTATGAAAAGTGAATTCCAATGGAGCTTGGACTTTTTGGTATTATTTGAGCCGACACCCTCTATTTCAGCCAGCTTTCTTTGATGCCACTGTCATAGGGTCAGGGTGATTACTGAGTCATTACTGGCACATGGAGCAGAAGCCCAGGGTCCTCCCCTGGCCTCCATTGACACCCGAGGCAGGAGCTCCTTGCGACATTGGCTGTGGCCCTTGAGGGTAGTTGAAGAGACATCCATGCACTCATGCCAGGGTTCTGCAGGGCTGCCACCGGGTGTCACCCAGCAGTGTGATGCAGATGGACCCTGGGGATTTCCAGGCTTGGTCCAAGGTATCCAGGAGACAACACCACCTCTGTAGAGACGCAGCTGTCCTGCACCTCAGAACAAAGCTAATCCTTGCAAGAAGGAATAATTTCCTCTCCATGACAGGGACACCTGGTACCTGATCCAGACTGCATACAGGTATAAGAAAGCAGAAGTCACCCCAGACTCTGGGGCCCCCGCCCATACCTGGACCTTACTGCTGACCCACACGCAGTCTGTGGGACAAACTGAGCTGGTGCCTGAGACTCATCTTCAGTGTGAACTGCACAGCGGGGAGAAGCTGCCCTGGGGGAAGTTAGTAACAGAGCCCCCCCAGATCCTGTGCGTGACACCCAGAGAGGGGCTGGGAGCAGAGCAGGCTCTCCCCGAGGAATCAACGGGGCCCACAAATCCTTGGTGGGTCTCCAGCGGGCCTCTTGAGTCCCTCCAGGCTGTCCTCACTGTGGACATGTCCTGCACCTGCTCCTGGACAGCCGGGCACCAGCTTTTCCAAGGTCACTGGCATCGAACTGCCCAGCGGCCTGGATGGAACACACACCAGCCCAGTGCTGCCCACTTTCCCTGATGAGCCCTGTACCATGATGTTTATCTCTTGGGCCGTCTCTACCACTGTCTCCTGTCAGTGTCACCTTTGTCTGGGACTCTGGGAAACACCTGATGTGCCTGACAGCCATTTGGGGTGTGCGAAACCTGAGCTGGACCTGATGGACCAGCTGTGATCAGACTCTTGCATCTTCTGCACCTGTAGCTCACAGGTGTCTCTGGACCTTACTGCTCGCTTCTGGGCCCTCCTGGCCCCCTGTCGCATCCCCAGGGCTGCTGCTGTCCAGTCCGGTGGCTCCAAGCCTGTTCGGCAGCATTTCTGTTTCCCTGTAGCTGAGTTTCCAAGGCCCAGGTTCCCTCTCCCTTTTCCTGTTCCCTCTGGCCTGAGGTTCCATGTCCAGCTGTGGCTCCCACACTGTTTATTCAGGGTGCTCGGAGTTTAGGTTGCTGCCCATCCCTGGCCCACTGGCCAGCCCCTCAGTGTGTCCTCATTGGCCCTTTGCTTGTCCGTGGTTTACTGTAGAGCCTGACCACGGTTCTTTCAGTTTGGGCACCTGGGCTTGAACGCAGGGCCTTTGCACTGAGCTACATCCTCAGTGCTATCTGTCTTTATTTTGAGACAGAGTCTTGATAAGTCACTAAATTACCCAGGCTGGACTTGAACTTGTGATCCTCCTGCCTCAGCCTCCCAGAGTGCTGGGATTACACCTGTGCACCACTGTGCCGGCTCTGATTACTGCTTGTGAAGCACTCCTCCCTCACTCTTGGTGAATCTGCCCTAGATCCACAGCCCAGCCCGCCCCCATCCTCTCCCCTAAGGGACCAGTGGGACCCTGGACTTATTCCAGCCCCACCACCCAAGATGCAGCTCTGTTCCCAGCAGATGGTTCTGAGGACCTGCCGACTCCTCCTCACCCTGTCACAGAGGATCTGCTTGAGATCTGACTGCCTGTGGAAGGCAGCCAGTCCTCACTTAACCATCAAGTCATTAGACCGTTAAACGAACTGGTGGCTAAACGAGGAATTACATGGTGTGTACATCACAATGTTCAGAACAAAGAAATGAACAAAGGAAACTCCAACTTGACGACTTTGCTTTATTTGGATAATGCTTCCGAGCGGTCCTGTGATGTCTAACGCAACATAAAACTGAAAATCTGCTCTTCAGAGCTGTCAGCAAAAATTATAGTACTATGAACAAGAAGTGCTGTGCAAAAAAAAAAGACACTGAATCCCTGTAAACAGGACATAAAGAGCTGCACAAAAAAGAGACAGGTCGTAAGTCTGAATGGCCGTCAGATGGGTGGGTGTTAATGAGGAATATCTGTACTGGGTCAACTTGGGAGCCCTCAGGGTTGGAAGTGGAGTGCGGGAGCTACCAGATCTGAGACGGATGGCAGCCCTGGGCCCACTCACGCCTCTCGCCTCTCGCCTCTCGCAGGGTTAACTAAGTCCCTTAGCACCCGAGGCAGGATTTCCCACCCTGGCCTGGGGTTTCCAGGGGCCCGAGGCCCCCACAGCATTATACTGTAGTGCTTGATGTGGCTGAGTCTCCTTTTTAGATTGTCTCCACTGATTGTGCGTAGCGAGGTCTTCTAGCAGAACCAGCGTCACGGCACGCCAGCCCCTCCTCGTTTCTTTGTTAACTGAGCTCTTAATCCTCTAACGCAGTGATGGCGAACCTTTCAGAGCTTTCCATGCCAGAGGTCCGCCACCACCTTCTCTCTCCAAAACTGGGTCCTGCTCCCACTTGTCACCACTGGATCCATGAGCCACATGCTATTTGTCACAGCTTGCTGGGAGCCCATTTCTCATCCCCCCAGATTCTGTGGGAGCCACTCTGGTCACCCCCTCCTCGAGCAGTTCTTTGCTTTTCCTTGTTCTTCACCTTGCAAAGCATTTCTACTCCTGAGCTTTCCCATCTCTATGTCAAAGCAAGTTGCAAATCTCTCCCTGCACCATTTGATCCACTTTTTTTCCTTTCAAATTCTGTTTTCTGTTTAGCGCAGCCCTAGAGAGTCAGGTCGGGAGCTGCAGCGCATGGCTCCCACCACTGTCCTCCAGGTCCCTTCGCAGGTCTCGCCTAGGTCGGTGGACAGAGCTGCTGCTCCCAGGATCCTCTCTGTCTTTGCGTTTTGGTGCCTCTACGGCCGGAACCTGAAGGACCAGGGGACCCTTGTGGGAGGGAAGCAGGAGCCCCCAGGTTCCACTGACCTCTCCGCCAAGGACAAGGCTGCCACAGGAGGCGGGGGCTAGAATGGGTCATCCTTGCCCTGAAACTCTGGTTTGGGTCTGAGACTGCGCGTTGTGACTTTGTGACCTTTTTCTCCCTAGGCGGCGCTCAGCATCTTCGGCATGATTGGAGGACCGCTTTTGGGCTTGTTCTCTTTGGGCATTTTGGTCCCCTTTGCCAACTCAGTAGTAAGTATTAAGAATGTGTGCACATGTGCTGTCCCCAGCAACGGGAGCACCTTTCCACCTTGCGCCCTGCTGTAAAGCTGAGGTTGCTTGGAGATGATGCGTCCTTAGTTGCTTCTCCAATGACTTTAATCACTCATTTTGACCTTGGTGGGGGCCTAAAGAAGTGCTGGCTGTGGACTTGGACCTTGCTTGTCTGAAGGTCAGTGCAAGCGGCCAGAGCCGTGGAGAACAACGTAAAGCTCTGTAGGTGACTGAAGGAATGGCATCCCGTGCCCTCCTGAAAACTCAGTGGCTGGAGTTTAAAGAAAGAGATCGACGGCCTCAGATCTGATCTGAGAGCTTTAGGAACCGGAAAGATGAGGACCTGTGAGTCCTCATGGTGCTGTGACCCCAAAGCTTGAGCTTCCCATGGTTAAGGCTGCAGCTCCAAAATATGATTCTAGTTCTGACAAGGCGATTGTATTTGGGAATACTATCCAGAAAGAGCTACAGACCAGTATTTAGAGTTAGAAGTGCTGTCCCGGAGATTTAGCTCATCCGCATAAGCACCTGCCTGGCAAGTGCCAGGCCGTGAGTTCGATCCCCAGTACAAAAAACAAAACAAACAAAAAAGCTCTACAATAACTAGAAATGCTGAATTTTGGGGGGATGAGTTAAATATAAATTATTTAACTGGAAGCCAGGAGGAAACCCCCTGGTTCTGTCCTGCTGTAGGATGATGCTAACGTCTGTGTGTTTCTTTTGGACGCTCGTAGAGTAACTGCAGAACTTAACACACAGATTCCCCCCTCTCCTTCTAAGGCGTCAGGGCAGGAAAGGCAGTCCCAACAGAGGCTGGCATTTCTGTGATCACTAACGCATCAGAATGAGGAGTCAGGAGTTAATCACGGTGAGACAGACGGGTGCAGCCCTGATGGGACCCTGCCTTTGGACGTGCATGGTGGCTTGTTGAACGTCAGGGGGAAATCAGCTTTTGCTTCTGACACCTGTCACCATCGTGAACCACTTCCGGAAGAAGAGCTGCAGCTGGCGGATTCCAGTGCGCCCCCTTTTTTTGGTGGGGGTGGAGGAGAAGATATTGTTATTCTCAACACAGGAAGTGATTCCTTTTACCATTCAGCGTCTGTCACCCCAATCATCAGCCTCCCGTTGCAGTGGCCTTGCCTGGCCCTCTCGCTCTCCTCCTGTTCTCCCACTGGTAGCCTCCTCCACCTTCTCCCCCTCCGCCAGCGGATGTTTATTTAGGAGCTGAGTATCTCTGCCCTTGAGTTGCGGGTTTTATAATTTCCTGGGTCCTTGATGAAGCCATGCACCTTGCTGAGATGAGCTAGGTCTGGCCTCTCACCAGCTGGCTGCCGGATACTCCAGCCTCGCCTTATTAAGAAAGATTTGCAGCAACCCTGCTATGGGTCCCACTCCGCAGCAAATGTGGGGCACCAGAAGAAAAGAAATCAGAATCAGAGCCCAAGAGTTGATGGCTTCTGAGGGATCTCCCAGACCTTGTCCCCAACACAAATCCCCTGCTCTGGCCAGCAAACTTGAACACGTGGTTCTTTTTTCTCCCTGTGATTTCACTTAGGTTTAGCCCCTGTCTCGAAACCCTTCCTTTTTCCCCACACACAGCCTCCAGGAGGCTCGGCTGCCCCCACTTACCACTGCTCCTAGCTCCCACCGCGGAGGAGGAGCTGCCCAGCTCAAGGTGTGCTTTGCCCCATCCTTTGGAAGTGGGGTGTGCACCACTTAAGAGCTGATGGAGCAGTTGGGGTTCTGCGCAAAAGCGGAGACCCAACTCTTGCAAAGGGTGAGAAACCCAGTGTCTTAGGAGGAGCCTGGCCGGGATCTCTCTCCGTTTCTGTTCCCCCCTGGAGAGCTGACCTGGCTCACCGCCCAGCTGGAGCCGTTTGTAACGAGGCTTGTTTGCTGCCCCCAGTTATCCCACAGCTCCCGGTCATCGTCACTGGTGTCTACACTGCAGGGGTAGCGCAGACAGGCTTCCGTTTCATGCTCTGTTACACACATAGAGTGCCATTTGTTCACAGATGAAATAAACCTTCGGGCGGCTGGACTGCTGTCAGCTAACTCTGTGACTATGGCAGTTTTGGGGGCACAAAGAGATGGGGTGATTGGAGCCCAGGGTTGGCCATGAAAACAGGGCTAAAAAACTGGAAATGTCCCACATTTGCAAAGAGAAGTGGGCTGGAGCTAGTGATGGTTAGACAGGGCTGCGAAGAAGAGGTTGGGGTTTCAGTGGCTCTGGTGTCCTGGGCTGTGGGACACTTGGAAAGAGGCAGAGCTCCTGCGATGGAGAGGAGGTGCTGGGAGGGAACTCAGGGAGGGAGCGTGGACCGGGGTGAACCTAACTTTCCAAGGCTTCCATCTCAAAGTCCACGGCGGCGGCGGCAGCATTGTTTTAACAGAGCTCTTGTTTTCCAGGGAGCGTTTGTCGGTTTGTTGACTGGCTTCATGATGTCCTTATGGATTGGAATTGGAGCTCAACTTTACCCCCCACTTCCGGAGAGAACTATGCCGTTATACCTCGCCACATACGGCTGCAACAGCACGTACAACGCGACCGATGTGGAGACTGCCACAGAAATACCATTTCCTACTGGTGCTTCTCAAACCCACAGTGTGGAAAGGTATTGGGTTTTATAATCTGTCTTTAGGACTTAAGAGACAAGTGGAGATCTCCAGCTGCTTGTTATCTTGCCCATAACACTATGATTTTTCCACGACCTGCATGGCTCTTGAGGTTTTTGGGGTGATGGACTGTGAGAGGATGAGAAAAATAAAGCAGAAATAAAAACTGGGATCAGTTGGCGCCCTCTCTCTCCAGATGGGAGGAAAGCAACTGCCCCCTCACTGCAGGGGCGTTTATTTATACATTTAGCAACTTAATGTCATGTGACACCCCGTTGCCTAGTAATCTACAGGTATGGCAACCTAAGGGCCTGATTTTTGGGCTGGGCCTTACTTCTGTTTGCAACCCACCCTGGGTAGTCTTTGGTGGTCTCGGACTCAGCTGTCAGGCTGGCTCCTGCCGGTGTGGTCAGTTTCCAGCTTCAAAGGTTCCCTACATGATTTTTCCTAATTCTGCACCTGGCAGGGCCCATGCAGGCCTTTGGCTACACCACATTATTCAGCAATAGCAAAAAGGACATATCTTCTTAATTTCTACAGAGAGTTCTACTTAGCTTCAGGTCTAACGGTGGCTTAAAAGTTAATTTAAAAATCTGTTATGTGTAAACTACCAAACACCAACTCTAGTTGCATGAAAAATTATCTGTCTTTGAGAAGGGTTTTCAATGTAAAGTTCAGTTATTAAAGAAACACCGCTTGGACAGTATGACCCTGACCACAGCTACCACCATCTGATTAGTGGAATGTAACCGCTCAGCCTGTGCGAAAGAGTCCAGATCATAGCACGGAGTCACAGCTGTGACCTCCCTGCTGGAGTCTTCTGTTACGCAGCTTAGTTCTGAGCCTCTGAATACCGAGAAGCTGTCGGGTTTCATGAAATAACGCAGACTTGCTGGAGGAAGGCACTGGTGCTCTGGGAACCCTGCAGCAGCGTGCAGCTTAGAGTACAAAACCTCACGGCTGTGTTCAGGGAACACACAGATAAGAACACTGTCTCCGCTGTGTTCCCCGAGTGCCGGCTTACACAGGAGACAGCCTCAGAGAGGTGTTGCTTTTGGGTCAAGACATGGGTCACCCTTCCAGAATAGACACAGTTTGGGGGGCGGGGGTGCTGAGCTCACAGACAGCCGAATTAATGAAGCCACATGTGCCCCAGAGGGAACTCACTTGCAGATTCTTGCAAGTGGGACTTGTGGGGGAGTTGGAGGCTCTGCACTCTATATGACGGAGGGAAAAGTTAGTCCCGAAGGCCAAGAAATATTTGTGAGACTAAGTAACAGGCTGTGAAGACAGAGGCAAGGAATTGAGTGTGAGAAGTGAGCTCATCTGGGTAAAAATGAGGATCCAACCAGCAGAGAAAGCACAAACTCCAGCTGTCCAGAGTAAGCATTCCAAAGGTGGCCTTTGAGAGAGCAGGCCGGATGATGATGATGATGATTTTTGTCCTTTTGAGGCAGAGTCTCACTGTATAGTCCAGGCTGGCCTTGAACTCGCAGTGATCCTCCTACCTCAGCCTCCCAGGTGCTGGAATTACAGGCGGGTGCCACCGCGCCTGGCCAACATCTGGCTTTTTATGGATTGAAAATGACAATGACAGCAAGGTGACGGTGACCTGGTCTTTGCAGCTTGTAGGAAGAGCACGGCGTGAGACTCCCCCTCGGCCACATACACTGCACACTCTGATAAATAGCTGTGATAGGCCCAGTCCACAGTCACCTGCCCCACAGTCACCGGGGCATTGGGTGACATTTTAAGTCCTCTTCCAAGCCTGTGGTCGGGGCCCTGCTTTTGATTTCTGGTCTAGTACATAAAGATCAGAAAAACGGGTGATAACCTTAAGGCAGCATTAAATATTGTGTTTTTACTGTCACGGAACGCCGTTGCTGGTCGCATTGCGCTAAATCCCGCGGCTGGGTTTCCTCTCCCTCCCAGGACCCCGCTGATGGACAACTGGTACTCCTTGTCCTACCTGTACTTCAGCACCGTCGGGACCTTGACAACCTTCTTGGTGGGGATGCTTCTCAGCATAGCAACAGGTGAGTGAGGCCTGACGGTATTCCCGTGTTCACACTGGCTTTTACCGTCTCCCTCTGTAGCTATCTGTGTTCTTTACCATGACCCTGTGAACGCCCAGTTTAATTATTTCTTCTGTGTTACTCATGGGAAATCTGAGAGCACGGATTTGAGACTAGATCATCCCTACATGAACCTCCGTTCTGCCGCTTAGTAGATGCATAAATCTAGGCAAGTCACGCAGCCACGCGGAGCTTTGGCTTTCTTAAGTGTAAGACGCAGAGCTGTCTCACTCACAGCCTGCTGCAAAATAAGAAGTTTGCAAAAAACTATCTGTGGCTACTGAAGAGGTTTCACACAGCGACCTCATCCCAGGACCTTTCTAGCATCTCATGGTGGACCTTTGTAAACTGTAAGTAGGGTATGCACACAAGGCATAATAATTGTGACATTAGGGCCAGGCGTGGTGGTGCCCCCTGTCATCCCAGCACTCAGGAGGCTGAGGCAGGAGGATCCTGTGAGTTCGAGACCAGCCTGGGCTACAAAATGAGCTCAGGCCTGGCCTGAAGTGCATAGTGAGACCCTGTCTCAAAAAGACCAAAAAACAAAACAAAAAAACAAAATTGTGACATTTGTGTCTAAACATAGTATTAAAGCTTTTTAAAATGTCAATGAACTTTAAAAATAAGTATCTGTGGGGACACAGTTGTCTGTGAGCTCAGCACCCCCCCCCCACCGTGTCCATTCTGGAAGGGTGATCCACAGCAGTCAAATGAGCCGAGACTGCCCTGGCCTCCTCGGCGGTGTGTTCACCACTCAGAAAGGCGGCGTTTGGTTCCAGTATTTCTGGTCTTTGTTTATATTCTACTGCAAAGCTACCTGTGCAGGGCTGCTTTATGGGGTCCTGTTATCAGTGACTGTTTCCGGCATTTAGATGGCGCTGTCTCCAAATTCACTGGCAAGTTACTGTGATCCACGCGTGCTCATATCTATAGCAGCACAGCTCACAGTAGCTAAATCTTGGAAGCAACTTGTGTGTCCACCAGCAGATGAATGGATAAAGAAACTGGAATTCACACGCCATGGAGTTGTACCCTGTCATAAAAAATAAACTCGGGCCATTTGTAGGAGAATGAGACTGTCATGTTAGGTGACATAAATCAGACTGACAAGCTCAAGTGTTACATGGTTTCTCTTATGTAGAAAACCAAATTATAAGTAAATAGCAAAATAAAAAATAGATAATAGGAAATAGGGAGACAGATCCTTCTCTAATGGGAAAGAGATCAGGAGATGGAGTCGGGGGAGATAACAGGGAGGAGGGTGGATGAAAGATCTTGGTGTGTGTTATGTAAATACACCAGCTCCAGACGAGGAGGGTAAGCGCGCACTGCAGACTTGTGCTATGAAAGACACCCTCATAACTGGTGATTGTAAACTTTATAGGGCTTTGTTGCCTTTTAGTCATTTTAAACCATTCTGCTGCTTCTTTAAAAGATCTGCTTTTACTCATAAATGAAATTACTGCCCTGATAAGTTTATTCTTTACCTGTTTTATTGTGTTTTAAGACCGATTTTAAACCTCTCTCACCAGTTATCAACTCTTTAGATGTGGAATACACTTAACCAGTCCCCCTGTACTACTGATGCTTGGCATATTTGACTTCCCCTTCCTCACTGTTTAAAGAAAGTGGGATGTCAGATTATTTCCTTTGAGTGTTCCTCTTTTCCTTCTTAAATCTGTGATTGTGATGTCTATTGTTTTAGTCACTTTCTCCTCACTGGGGCAATTGCCTGACGCCCACAGGGTGAAGGAGAGGTTGAACTTGGCTCATGGTTTGGGGGCTGAGTCCCAGTTGCCTGGCTCAAAGGCAGAAGTTGCGTGGTGGAGGGTGAGGGAGAGGGGAGCTGCTCGCCTCACAGCAGCCAGGAAGCAGAGACGGAAAGGAACAGGAGCTGGGGAGCAGACCCCCTTAAAGGCACGAGCCCAGTGATGCACCCCTCCCACCAAGCCCACCTCTAACAACGCAGTCAGCTATGGCTGAATCCACCGAGGAATGTGGAACCCCATGCTCCAATCACCTCTTAGACACCCCACCTCTGAGCACAAGAGACTGTCAGAGAACATTCTAGATTCAAACCACAACCTCTCCGTATTGCTCTTGTCTTTTATTCTAAAAAGTAATGTTCTGTGCAGGTGAGCAGACATGTAGGACTCAAAAGCAAATGACTTTGTTCATTTCCTACTCAAATTACCTCTCCTCCAGAGCAGCGTGAGCACCCTGATAAAATCTAGAAACACGCAGCTCAGGTGGTCTCTGCGCCAGAAGGCAGTTGCTTTATCAGTAAAACGGCAGAGCATGTTTTCCTAAGTAGACACGAGCTGTTCCTGCAGCAACTGTTTAATTCCCTTCAGATTCTGCAGCATCTGGTGGGTCTCAGCACACAGCAGGCGCTCGGTCGTGCTGAGTGAATTTAAGGTAAATCTTATCTCCAGCACTGCAGAGATCAACACAGGCAAAAAGCTCACTATTCATGCCAAAATACTGGTTCTCAGATTTAGAGGTCAACAGAATCATCCTGGAAATTTTCCCCAAAGTAGGACCACGTGGTCCATTAACAGGGGTCCGATTTGGCTGGTGTGGGCTGAGTCCAGAAATCCGCACCTTACGTACATCACCGAGATGATTTGGGCAGAGGTGGTCTGGGGACCGCATATGCACTTTGCAAAAGGCTTCTCTTTGATCCACAAGTAAAATACCAGACCAAGGAGTTATTATTATTATTTTTGTAAAGCAAACCTTAGGGGAGAGGAGGTGGGTCAGACACCAGTAAGCACATTCATTTCCTCTGAACTAATACATTCAACAGTTTGTAACTCCTTGCATTTCATCACAGACAGATAATTGAAGCCACCAAACATGGGAAAGGCAGCTCCGCCACGTGACACAGAGGCGGGTGGTTTAAAGTTTTATTGGTGGACATGGAGACTGCTTTCCAATTGGTTTCCTGCCAGCATGGGCATGAGTGACCCTAGCTGAGCACCAGGTACAGCGTTGGTTTGAGTTTAATGTGGTCATGTGTGTACCATCTGTACCTCCTGTCTGTACACATTTATTTGCATAGTGTGAGTCTCCTCTTTCTCCTAGTGAGCCTGGAGGGGAGGCAGGCAGTGTGCAAACTTGCGGCGCTGTTCAAACTCCTGTCTGTGTTTTGAGTGTGTAGGTCGGGTGACACTGGGAGCCTGCGGGGGGCGCTGTCCCAGTGCAGTGCCAACCTTGTCTTAACAGTGTGAATGTTGTGTTTTTTTCAGGAGGAAGAAAGCAGAACGTGGACCCCAAGTTCTTACTCACCAAAGAGGACTTTTTATCTAACTTTGAAATGTTTAAGAAAGTAAGTTGCCTTCCTTTACCTCCAGTGGGAAGCTGGGCTTTCTCCCCCACGTAGCGCACAGTCGGTTCTCAGCCTCTCTCGGGCAGGATGGGCAGGGAGGTCAACACCAGCCCTCCAAGCATCATCCGGTCTGTGGTGTGGCACTCTGTTCCCTGCTGATCTGCAGTCCACTGTACAGTTCTTTCACATAGTGGGTTACAAAGCTGTCGTGGAGACATTGAAACAGTGAAGGCAATCTTTTCTGTCTTTTTGAGACAGGATCTCGCTGTGCAGTTCAGGCTGGCCTTGAGCTCACCTTGTAGCCAGGCTGGTCTCAAATTTGCAAGGATCCTCCTGCCTCAGCTTCCTGGAGTGCTGGGATTACAGGCGTGCATCACCATGCCCCGCTTTTTATCAGTAGCAATCTTAGCATTTCTTATTTTTTTCACCCTGCTGACATTTTCTTTCAGAAGGACCATGTTTTAAGTTACAAATCTCATCCGGTGGAAGAGGGTGGCACTGACAACCCTGCCTTCAACCACGTGGAACTGGGCTTCACAGATCACAGCGGCAAGGCTGGTGGGACTCGGCTGTGACACGGGAAGATGGAAAACTGTGCCTCAGTTTTATGTTTTCTAGGATATTGGGATCAGAATTAGATATTTTTCCTATCTAACATGAGTTTTGGGGGCTACGGTTTTGTTAGAGTCCAGTCCTGACTTTCTTGCCTTTCTGTGATGATTTGTTATGGTCCTCTGGGGTCAGGGGTTTGGACACCAGCATTCCCTCTCTCTTTTATGTCAGTGAACTGCACTTCTGACCACACACCTGCCGAAGAGCTGACACACACATACACATGTGACACTTGACGGTCAAAGGCATCTTCTGAAATTTGGGCATTATTGAAAACGTTTTCCATGCCTTTGGTGCTAGGATAAAACCTTCAGCATTTGCCAGAATCAGAATCCATGTTGAATAGAGCTTTCCTGCCACGTACACTTTTCTTAGGGAGCAAGGAGGTGACAGACTTGTGTTGTGGGGGTTTTGCTTCTTAGCCTGGCTGGGCCCAGGGCAGGAAGGAAGCATGAAACTGATTCTGGTGCGGAAAGGCGGGAATCTGGAAGCAGAGACCCAAATGATCTGGTCTCTTGCATCTGATCTGGTGCCTTTGGCTTGCTTTCTGAGGTGCCTGGCCTCTGGCTGCTTATATTACCTAAAACTACAGTGCTTACCTACGTGCTGGTTTCTGAACCACAATTTTGCTTCCCAGTTCTCCGCTGACCCTATTGGCCTGGGCTTGGATAGGTCTGGATACGCCCAGGGTGAATCATCCACAGAGACCTGAAAATTGCAAACTCTCAGGGGTCTGGTACCCATCGATGTAAAGCGATGTGGATTCTTACAGATTTGGTGACCTGAGAGCTGTGTTTTAAACAATGATTAAGTTCAGGGTTGGGGTGTAGCTCAGTGGTGGAGCACTTGCTCACTTATTCAAGGCCCTGGGTTCTTTCCCAGCACTAAAAGACAAAGCGGAGTTTCATGGACTTAGCTGGTTTCGCTTAATGCTGCTGAATTAAACACTGGACTGTCAACGAATCTGTAGTCAGTTAAGCTGACCGATGGTACCTATGTTTAGGAATTTTGAAATTTTGAAATTGGTTAAGAGACCAAATTAAATACCAGGTAGTACTTTACCTGTGAATGCACCAAAATTACTGAATATCTGCTTGGTTTGATGTTTTAAAATTTCATATTGAGGTCTCAAAATTGCTCAGTTGTTTATACTGCTGTGCTCTTAGCTAAGAGTTTGATACAAGATTTCATCAATAACTTATTTTTTCTACAACAACCACATTAGATACTGTTTAAAATTTTTTAAATTTTTAAAGTTTTTTAAAAAAGATGAAAGAAATATTTAGAAATAGAAAACGTGTATGTTTTATAATTCAGTAATTTTGTGCATATTTTCTGACCTTTCTTTGGGAAACCATGCTCTGTACCTATAGAGGTTACTGATATTAAGAAATAAATAAAATAAGCAGTAACATATTGCTAGAGTAAGAGATTTACACAGCATTTCAGTTCACTATATAGTCATGTATTTCTTATTTCATAATTCTAATTCTACTTTCTTATTTCATAGTTCTAATAATAATATTAATTTCTTATTTAATAATTCTAAGTGCATGTGTTTAAAGAGTGATTTAATTTTGGAAATCAAAATCTGGCTCTTTAAGTAACCTTTTCTTTTACCTGACTGCCTAGAAGGTAGACAATACGGATTTTTTGTTTTTCTTCTTTATCAGTACCGGGGATCGAACTCACAACTGCCTGCTTGCAAGGCAGGCGCTTATGCCACTGAGCTAAATCCCCAGCCCCTGACAATGTGTTTTTAATGAGAAATATAAAACTTTCATTCTTGTCTGTATCCTGAGGGTAAAGTCTACCTTTGTGACCACTGAGGCTATCAGTGTTTTACATTTACAGACACACAAGGGAGCCAGGTAGATTTCTTCACAAAACAAAGCAACACTGTTAGTAATTAAAAATAATGTAGCGTAATTTCTAAAATTTGCAGTAAAATGTTAAAATATTATAGTGAGAATAAATAATCTGCTTCTCCTAATTATTTTGAAACCCGATAACTCAATAGGAGAAAAAGTCACCCAGATTGTCTGTTTGCTTTTTTGTTTCCACTGCCAAGTTCTGTGCCCTTAAACCGCCCTTTCGCCCCTCATAACACACTTTGTGGGGAGTCTCCTGGTGGCATGCAGCACTGGGCTCTTCCCTACCTGACCAGAGCGATGTGAGTATGAAGATCAGACTGAGCTTGATGGCAGGAGAGCATCAAATTCACTCAGAGAGCGGCACTAATGTTTCAGCAAGACTGAGGATCAAATCTGACACGGAAGCCGCTTTCCAGATTTTTAAAAGATGAGCCACCAGTGAGCTGTAATGTAGTGGTGAGAGACACGACCTCTCCAAAGCTACGCGCCTTGGAGTATTAAAGTCTACTTCGGATTCAGCAGGATCGTTCCAACTGGATAAATGTCAGCTTTAAAAACAGGTAGAGCTCAGTCTCACTCATCTCACAGAGAAAGGAAGATTTTATAGGGGAGAGGTGGAGCGGCAGACATTCGCGTTCATCTGTTGAGCTACTTAAACAGTGATTTTCTCCATGGCCCATGAGACGGGTCAGCTGAGCTCCCCCAACAAAAATGACCCAACCCCAATCTCAGCACTGAGGTGAGGGTGAACAGTCACGGTGTGGTGGCCTGTCTTCTGTCAGGAAGGGGACCTGACGCTCGGTCTCAGCATTGTCATCTAAGGCCGCAGCAAAAGTACCAGGATCGTGTAGAATGTCAGGATGCAGAATAATGAGCACAGGGTTTTCTAGCACCCTGAAAAGATTAAGGGCCGTAGAACGGGGAGTACCGTGCACACCAGTCTCAGGACACCCTAATGTAGCTGCTCTGCGAACATTAGGGTGAAGAAGATAGTAAATGTATCAAAGCAAAGATTTCATAATTTCATTTTATTCAGGAAAACCACAGAAGTGCAGGCTTCTTTTTTTAAACAACTGAATGTCCCGCGACATAGTCACATGGGACAGGGCTGAGGTTGACCTGGAGCGAGTGACTCTTTGAATTGATTCTTGCAGGGATTTCTGAGACTCTTTTCCATGAATATTGTTGGTAAGGTGTCAGCTGAGGGGCTTGGGGTGGAGCTCAAGGGCACAGCACTTGCCTAGCATGCTCAAGGCCCAGGGCTCAGTCTTTCACACTGCCCAGACAGACAGACAGACAGACAGACCAACCCAAGTCAAGTGAGTATGTGGCCATTTAGTACTTACATTCACCCTATGCTCTTAGATTCAAGCGTCATGCCCCTTGTTTATGAAAAGCTTGAGATCACTGAACATTAGAAATAAAACACGGCTGGAAACCTGATCTTCTGAGTTGGTGAATAAACTATAAAAATCTTTGCAGTTTTCTGTTGTCTTAGTTACTTTTTACAGGTCGCTGAGACAAAATACCTGATGCCCAAAGTTGGAAAAAGAAAGGTTTATTTCTTACAGTTTTTGGAGGTTTCAGTCCGTACTCAGTTGGCTCCAAGGCAGGTTGATGTGGTGGGGCTGCAGTTCATGGCGGCTGCAAACAGCAAGGTGGAAACCGGCAAGAGAGAGAGACACACCTTCTTCCTGCCATTACATCACATCCTGGCTCCACCCCTAGGCCAGTGTGGCACTCATACCCCCAATCCAAGCTCTAGACGATGAACCAATCGCAGATGCACAAATACATGAGGCCTGGGGGCCACCAACATAAACCATGACATTCCACCCCTGGTCCCGACAGCTCATGTGCATCCTTTATACAAAAGACATTTAGTCCACCTCCAAGAGTTGCCAAAGTCCTAACAGTTTCAGCACTGCTGAAAAATCTAAGTCCCAAGTCTCTTCCAAGATCTATGGCCAACTCTTAACTGTACCCCCCTGTACAAATGAAACAAGGTTAAACATTTCTGAAATGCAAAGGCACAAGATACACATTACCATTCCAAAAGTTACAAACAGGGGAATAGAAAGCATTGGAAACCAATAATGTCCAACATCCAGCAGGATGAACATTAAGTCCTAGAGTTCCATGCTCAGCATCTGAAGCATTCTGGTTGCAAGCTCCAAAACGCTTAGGTGATTCTACGCCCACAGCATTTACAGGGATTTCAGCTCCTGCATCTTTTCTCTTAAATCCTCTCTGCTCATTTTTTGCAGCTTTCCTTGGATCACCCACATTCCTGGCTTTTCCAAACTTCTGGGGTCTCCACTGCACCTTTGGCTTCACCCTTACATCTTTACAAATTTCCCTCTCAAGGGCATCTGCTTGGCCTCCCAGGCCCTTTGCAATTGAGGTGGAAGCCGTCTTACCCTCAGAATTTGTGCATTTTCCTTGTACCTAAAATCAGCACCATGTGGATGCCGCCAAGGTCTGCTGCCAGCTGGAGCAGTAGCCTGGCTTCTTTCTCTCTTGGCTGTAGAGATTAATTGCCTGGATTGTTGGGTTCTGTGAACCTGATTGTGAAGAAAGGTTTCTCTATGTTGTCGCCATTCTGGAACCTCATGTGGCCTCCATTGTCATTCTGGAGCATGGTGCTCCGCAGCTTTCTCTCTGAGCAAATTCTTTCACTTTTGTACTTCTGAGGCTGTAAAGGGTGGAGACCCGCTGCTTCCTGGGATGTCCCATGGCCATCTTTTTTATCTCTCTGTTCCTCCTCAGCAATCAAAGTCTCAACACTGTCTTTACAATCTGCAGCTTTCCTGGAGTTTTCCTTCTGGCCAAATTCACAGAGTTGTAAATTATCCTGCTGGGCTCTTTGCTCTTGATCTGCAACATTAAGCTGGCTAAAAGCCCCCAACAATAGCCATGCTACAGTCTCAACATTGGACTGCCTTGAAATTTCCTTTGTAAGATTAATCAGTCCAATGCCCTTTGCTTCAGTCACAGGCAAAGTCTCTGGGAATGAGCAAAATGAAGACAAACTTTCTGCCAAGCCATAACACACTTTTGGGGAGTCCAACACCCAATGCAGTCCTTCTTCCCAGTAGAAACCTCCCAAGCTTGGTCTTTACCATGAGGCTTTCTATCAGCCTTCTGGTCTCCTGACCTCTGACCAGAATCTCCTCTATAGAGCAGCTTAGGTTGCTCCAACTCTATGCATCCAGGCAACATGTCTGAACCTTTCCAAACTATGCCCATAAGCCATTTCCAAAGCCTCTTGAAAAACATGATCAGGTATAGTCACAGCAAATGACTCTACTCCTGGAACCAAATTCTGTCTTAGTTACTTTTTACTCATCACTGAGACAAAATATCTGATGCCCAAAGCTGGAAAAGGAAAGGCTTATTTCTTACAGTTTTTGGAGGTTTCAGTCCATATCAGTTAGCTCCAAGGCAGGTTGGCGTGGCAGGGCCACTGTTCATGGTGGCTGCAAATAGCAAGCAGAAACCAGCAAGAGAGACACACCTCCTTCCTGCCATTACATCACATCCTGGCCCCACCCCTAGGTGGGTGTAGCACTCACACCCCCAGTCCAAGCGCTAGACAATGAACCAATCACAAATGCACAATGCAAATGCATGAGGCCTGGGGGCCACCGACATAAACCATGATATCTGTTCTCTTGCAGACTTTGAAATTCTTTCTTTGTCCTTGGCTTTTGGCAGTTAGGTTATACTATAGTGTGGGGTGAGGATCTTTTCTGGTCATGTCTATTTGGGGATCTGTAGGCCGTTAGCACGTGGACATCCATGTCTTTCCCAAGGTTGGGACCATTTCTGCTGTTATTTCACTGAATAGGTTTTCCGGTCCTGTAACCTTTATTTCTTCCCTTTGCATTACCTCAGTGATGTGGACATTTATCTTTTAATAGCACCCCTAACATCTTGTGCATGCTATTCATTTTCCCCTTGTTTTTCTTTATTTCCATCTGAATGTGATATTGGGAAAGACCAGTCTTCAAACTCTGATATTCTTTCTTCCCCTGGATCTAGTTTGTTGCTGAGAGTTTCATCTGGAATCTGCTCCTAAAGAGTTACTGTTGGTCATATTTCTTGCGTTGCTGTCTGAGATTGATGCGTCCAAGGGAATGGCTATCTCTACTTCTTTCATGGAGTGGCTCTTTTAGTGAGTGGCTCTCCTGAGGGTGCATCTCAGGACATGGAGTGATTATTTCCAGCTGGGTATCTACTGTAATCTTGTAGTTGCTTTGGCTGTGATTGGTGAGTTTGGGCACACCAAGTACTAATTTGGCCGGGAGCAATCACTGTCTCTCTAGAGTGAGGACAGCCTAGTGGCACTGGCAGTGCTGTGCAGATAGCGCCTCGTGTGGTTATTCCTACAGTGGGAGTGGTGGCCCCTGCTGAGTGATGAGATTTTCTTTGGAGACTGTGTGTGCTGCCTCTGTTACTTGGATAGGACTCTGGGATTGGCCTCTCCAGTTCTGGTGAGGGACTTGAATCACCTGTAGATATCAGCATGATCCAGGTGTTTGGGAAGAGGGAGCAGTGGGAATCTCAGCACCCCCTCTGTAGCACTCACACTCACTTCTGACAATAGCGTGTGACCAGGAAAGATGTGGAGGTGACCAGTGCAGGGGACCAATGTAAATGCACTGGCAGAAAAAGTTCAGTAATTCCTCTGTGCGTCTCCTGTGGCTGTCCCCAAGAGCGATCCTAGAGACCCCTCTCACTGTGCATGTCCAGGAATGGGGTGATGACTGGGGGGGTCCCCTCATCTTTTAGTTACAGTTCCCACAAGGGGTGGAGCAGAGCAGGTCATGTCTGGTGCCAGGGACAATTCGCAGCTGAGGTGCTCACAGGTGTGCGTGAGCACGGAATGCACTTTCCCAGGGTTTGTGTCAGGGTTACCCCACCATGCTGGCTCTGGCTTGTGTCTGTGGGTCCTGGAGATGGGACTGCACTGGGCTTCTGCCCAATTCCAACAATGGCTCCCCTCTCAAGAGGGCGACCCATGGAATGGAAGATGAAGTCAATTCCTCTCCCAAAGCCAGGCTGCTGTGCAGAGTCTAGCCTCACTCTTTAGGGTCCAGACCTGCAAGGACCACAGAATTTCCAGTAACTGAGATAGCCAGTATCCCTGCCAATATAATTTTCAGGGACTCTCTCTTGCCTTTAACTGCCGTGGATGAGACACTTGCATCTCCTAGCTAAGGAGCTGGTGCGGAGGATGCTGGGAAATGTCACCACTCTCATGACATTGCAGTCTTGGGTCTGTGAAGGCACCAAGTGTCTGTTTCCATACATTTGAAATCCAGTGTTTCCCCATGGCCACTCAGCTCACCCACCGCTACCCACCTGCTGCTTTGAGTCTTCTCAGGTACCTCTGTTTGGTCACCTTGTTGATCCCTTGAACGCCCCAGGTGTCTTTCCAAACCGGATGGTAAACATCGTGGCTGTAATTCTCCCAGGGCTTCATGCATCTGATTTCCTCCGCTTGCAAAGGAACTCTGGTATGTGAGTAGCAGTCTATCTTGGTGTTCTCAGGGGAAGCCACTGCAGCCACCATCTTGCCCCGCTGTCCCACTTAGCCAGTGACCCCCGCTCTTAACAAAGAGTGCCGGGCTGAGGAGCTAGCCTTTACCACATGAGCCTTTGGGGACATTGCAGGTCCAAGCTGAAGCGGCAGGTCTTACTATAGAACATGGTATTGTTTATTTCACACTGCCCTCTGCTGATAGCAGCTCCAGGGAGAGCAGTTTTGCTGGTTCTGTTTAGTGGTTTCTTCAGTAGCTGGGACAGTCTGCACCCCACAAGGTGCTCACTGTGAGTCAGAACGAATGCTTTTGGCCAACAGGTCATGAAAAGAGCTTGGTTCTACAGGGCAAGCAGTGGATTTTCACATCAGCCTTTCGGAGACGTTCCCTAATTCTGAGATTCAGTTTGAGGAGCACTTTATTATCTGTAATAAATTAAATAGCTGGGTCACCCAGCCGTCCTGAACCAACAACAGCAGTGATGCCACAATAAAGGAAAGCTCCATTCTCTACCGTCACAGAGGTTACAGTCTAATAAAGAGGGCAGAACAAAAGGAGAAACACCCAGTAATTACAGTAAAGTGTGCTGCGCAGGGCAGCCGGACACTGCAGCTTGAGAGCCTCATGAAGTGCTGCGGAGTGGGGTGATAGGAATGCACGTGGCACTGGACCCTTCCTGGAGCACCTTCCCAACCCGACCGAGAGAGGGAGAAGCCGAGATCTGGACGATGAAGCATCCTAGCTGAGCAAAGGGGAGAAAGGGGGAGCCCTCTGGGCACAAGGGGCCGGCACATTCCTAAGGGCGGAGAGGTCTCGGGCCTCGGATGGGTTTGGACAAAAGGCAGCTAAGAGATGAAGGGAACCGTGGGTAGCAGCTAAGCTGGTGGTCACGTTACAGAGCTGACAATTTTAGCCATAGGAAATAAGAAGC